TATAATTATATACAACTAAACAAGAAATGAGGTTTGATATTATTTTGCTAAATTAAATTTGAATTAATCTATTTTACTTAAATACATATTTATAATTATATATAGTAGAGTTAACTTTGTGAAAGGCGACATAAATATGCTTAAACTTTATGAGGATAGGTAAAAAAGAGATTTAGAAAACAAAAAAAAGGTTTAACAATAATAAAACCAACTCAATCCTATAAGAACAAATTAAAATGTAAAATATTTTCTTTAAAAGTAAAATTAAATTTTAATTTTATTAGCAATTACAAGAAAAATCTACATCTTCTAGCTTGAAAGAAATATTTTATAAAAGAAATCAGTCTCTTAATAATGAAAGTAGTAATAAGTCTAATATTTAGGATGTATAAAAAAAGAAACAAAATTTTAATATTTAGTCATTTTAACCAACAAATTCGATTATCTAAGCTAAACCTGAAAATTTAGATAAAAGTTGTTAAGATTAACTATCTTAACAAATAGATCTAGGAGCTAAATCACTTCTAAATGAAAGTTCTAAAAGCAATATCCTTTCAGACAAAAAAGTAGAATTATAAAATGAAGTTGTGGATAATAAAATATTTAGTTCTAATTAAATAATTTAAAAACAACAAAGTAATAATAAGAATGATGAAATCAAATAAAAGAATATAGTCGAAGAGAATCAAAGTATCTCAATTTTGAAGAAGGATTTTACAGAGGGAATAAAGGTGATAGATTAATCAGAAAAATTGAATAAATCTGAGAAGCAAAAAAATAATATTATTTAATAAGAAGAAAAAATAGTTATTTTCTAAGAAGAAGATTATAGTGAAAATGAAAATGATAACAAAGAAAGTAAATAAAGAATTATTATGAAATAATTATTAAATTAATTAATTTATATTTAAAAGTATCTTAAAAAGTAGATAAAAAATAAAATTAAACGAATGGTAATCAACTAAATTAAAAGAATACTTAAAAAAAGCCAATTCAGTTTAAGAAAACTAAGTAGGACAATTTTGTCGCTCTTGATATGAAAAGAAAGTGGAAAGATAGGTTCACTGGAGAAATTAATGCTATAAAAAAAAAATATACTAAAAATGGAAGAATTAAATAAAAATATAAAAATAAATTTAACCCAGAGGAAGATAAACCTACAGCATTTGACAATATAAAATTTTAAAATGAAAGCACTGATAACGCAAATAGTGAACTTTATCAAAGGTCTTAAAAATAAAATATGTATGTAAATTGTTTATCTTAAGGACTTCTAATTACATTGAGTGAAATAGAAAACTAAGATTAAGATACTTAATTTAATACCTTAAATTTATAAGATCACTCAGATGAAAATCTCGTTAAAGTTCTCCAAGTAGTATATGGATTCAATAATTTTCGTTCAGGTCAAATCGAGTCAATTAAAAGTATAATTAATAAATAAAGTACTTTAATTGTGTAAAGCACAGGTCATGGAAAATCTCTTATTTACTAGTTCCCTACTTTATTTATGAAAGGTATTTTATTTAATTTAATTTTTCCATTTATTATGATTATAAATTAATAGGAATGGCTATTGTTATATGCCCACTAATTTCACTAATGATGGATTAAATACAAAAGCTTCCTAAGTATATAAAAGGTGTGGCTTATAATTCGTCTTTGACATAAGAATAAAAACAGAAAGTTATTTAACTTATTAAAGAAAATTAAGTGATGCTGCTATATATATCACCTGAAGTACTTCAAAGTGATTTTTCATATTTTTTTAAGTGTTTGCCTGAAATAAGTTACGTTTGTATTGACGAGGCTCATTGCATTAGTGAGTGGTCCCATAACTTTCGTACTTCATATCTCATAATTAATGAATTAATATAAAAAAAATTGAAGTGTGATTAGATAATAGCACTAACTGCTACAGCAACGCTGCAAACTTAATAATCAATGATGGATAAACTTAAAATTACAAATGTATATTAAGATTTTTATTAAAAACTTTCATTAATTCTATCTTTGAATATAAGGTTTTTAGATCAAGTAGTGTTAAAAGAGATAATTTAAGAATATCGATTTCAAGAGATAGTGATAAAAATACTGCTTTGTTAAATTTAATTAAATGTTTACCTATTAAAGATACAGATTCAATAGTAATTTACTGTAAATACAAAGTAATTAATAATGATAGATAATAAATATTCAAATTTTTTATTTATCAAACTTTATTATAAAAAGTTTTAATGTGAGACTTTAGCATAATTTTTGACATATAATGGGATACCATCTGGAGCATACCATTCTGGATGCGAAGATAAAAGAAAAGCATAAATTCAATAAGATTTTATGGAGGGAAATTTAAGGATTGTTGTTGCAACTATTGCTTTTGGTATGGGTATAGATAAATCAGATATCAGGGCTGTTATCCATTTGAACATGCCTAAGACTGTAGAAAATTATGTATAAGAAGCTGGAAGAGCAGGTAAAATTTTAAATACTTTACTAATAAAAAAATTGTTTTTAATTGTAAACAGGTAGAGATGGGAATATCTCATATTGCCATATGTTTTTAGATGACGAAGATTTCTATAGAAATTGTGGTCACGTATACAGTGATTCCGTTGATTACTCAACTTTAAAACTATTTTATGAGAAAATAAAAAAGTCAATTTATAATATAGAAGATAAATCAAGAACAGTTGTAATTAAAATTATTTTTTAATTCACTTATTTTATGTTAATTAAAAACTTAATTAGAGAAAATAAAAAAATAAAATGGGTAAAGAAGAAATTATATTCGACAAGTAATTAATGGAATCTGCTTAATCAAAATATTGTTTTATTGAACTTAAAGAGAGCATGTTAGAATTAGATAGCAAAAAAGAAACTCTTTAAACATTAATCATGAAAATTGGCTAATTTTAAAATTAAGATAATCCAATTTTCAAAATTTATCCTATAGGATATAAAAATTGTTCTATTTGGTTTTATCAAGGAGTTCCTGATGAAATGGCTAAAAAAGATGATTTAATTAAGAGAATTCTAGAGATAAGCATGATAACTCATGGATGCTACACTTTTAATATTTGTGACATGTGTAATTAGATTGGCATGGATCCTATTGAACTTTAAAAAAAATTGAGAGAATTTTTCCCTAAAATAAAGAACGAATTAAAAGAAGAAAGTTTAATATTCTAATTCCTAAGACCATTTGAAGAGACAGAAATGCTTGATATTTTAAATAGAGTAACTAAATATATTAATTCATTTTAATTACATTTATAATTACTATAAATCTAGGTAAATGGGGAAATGACTAAGTATGAGGAAGTTAGTTTAAATAAAATACATTTCATATATTGCATATCGAAAATGACATCTTATCCATCAGTCAAATATATGATCTAAAATGTAAAAATTTTTACTTTAAAAATAAGTAATATTAATATCTTTTTTTAAGAAAATATTTGATAGTTAAAGTAAGTTATCTAGTATTAGCAAATATTTTGACTAATATTTTAACTACGATGGAACTTCATATATTAAAATTCTTTAAGATGCTGATATAAATTTAAGCCAAGTATTACCCTATGAACAAATAACTAAGGAATCTAAAATAGAAATTATTGTAAGAATTTCTTTTGATTTTTTCTCTATCTGAAAATGATAAATAAATAAATACATTCATAAAGGATGTATTTTTTCTTATTTTTTTATTTATAAATAATTAGAAAGATGTAATTTAATTCTTGAAGAGAGAAGTGTAAGAAAAAGAAGAAGAATAGCAAGAATAGCTATTGGAGAATTTTAAAAACCCAAAGATTATCACAAGATTAATGTAGGGAATATCTTCTTATACATATGGTTAGGACGAATGGAAGAAGTAAATTTATTTATTTTTTGGTTTTTTTATTTACTCAAAAATTATTTGTTTTGTAAAAGCAATCAAAATATTTGGGATAGATATTACTAGTATAGATTTAGTGAACTTTATGAAGTTGTTCAAGAAGGAATATTTGAGTTTATTTATGATTATGACCCTGCTCCTAAAAGAAAAATGAAAACTAATTTATTATAAGAAATATGAAATTAGAATAATGAAAAAATAGCATATTTTTTTATATAAAATCTTTCAAAGATTCAGTTATAAGTTTTAATAATTTCAAAAATTTTGTTTTTTCTATAAAAACAACTTTCAATAAAATTATCTATTTGTAATTGACTGAATTATTTGTTTATTTTGTTTGTTTGCTTGATAAATTTTAACTCAAATGATTATTTTAAATTGATAAATCTTTGAAAATAATAAAGCTATTTGAAAATCTTTTTAAAATTAACAATCCAATATCTTTTTTTATTCACAATATTGTTATTAACTGGAAATTAAACTTAATTATTTAAATTAATTAATTTTGAGGGCAATCAATACTAATGAAAAAGCAAAACGAGAGTAGTAGCTCTTAAATTCAAAGAGAGGGAAAGGTTAAGTTGGGGTTTGTTATTTCAAATACTCCATAAAATAATTTAAATACTGTAGTTAAAAAGAAAGAGAAATCTATGTCACCTTAATCATAAAATTTAAATACATTAAATTAAGTTGGATAGATTGAAAGCTAGTAAACAGTATAAGCCAAAGTTTAAAAAACAGAAAAATAGTATATTTCTAAGCTAGAAACTCAATTGAAAGTTTAAAATAAAAAGAAAAATGATTTAGTCGATAGCAATCATAATTTAGAATATCTATTGAAGCTTTAAGATTAAAAACTGTAAACATATATTGAAGAAATTAAGTAATTAAGAAATTACAATGAGCAGCTTTTTAAAGAGAATAAGCAGCTACACCTCAAAGTTGAAGGGTTCGCTTAAGAAAGGAATAATTTATTAGCAGATAACAAACTTCTTAAAGAAACTGTGAAAAAATTAGAAATTAGACTTTCTCTTATTGTTCGTCCTACACAAAGAAAGAATATTTTAAAAACAATATCTGATTTTTCAAGAGAAAATCAATATGTTGATGCAACCTTACTTTAAAATGAATAAACAATTTAGTAGTACGCTTCAAATTATTAATCAAACAAAGAAAATGATAATTTATATTAGAGCAGAAGCAATAGCCCAAGATTGTAAGAAAATAACTTTTTTGAAGGTAATATTAACAACTTGCAAAGAGAGTCATTAAGCAATTTGCATTAGAGAAATTTAAGTAACAATAGCTTAAATCAATAAAAAACTAAGACAAATACCTTTACGTGTTCTTAAACTGGCAATAACTACAATTAGAACAATGCATCAATTTAAGGAGGTTCTTCTTCATCCAATTCTAGAACTTAGCTTAATATTTTTCCTTAAAGCTAATAATATGTTAGTTAAATGAATTCAAACAGAAGCAGTCAATAATTTTCTTAAGTACAATAAAACAGTGCTCATTTTAACAATCAAACTAATAACTCAAACTCACTTTTATAGACAGCAAACCTTAAGACAGAATAAACAAACTAAGAACAGTATTTAAAAAAATTACAGGAACAAATAAAAGTACTAGAAGATGAAAGAGAAACTTACCAATATGAAATAAAATTATTAAACTAAGCTTTAACTAAAGATTCAAGTAATGAATAAATGTAAAAGCTTATTAAAGATTTAGTTGAGAGTAAACAGCGTATTAGCTAATTCACTAAAAACTAAACTTTTTTAGAAGAAAAAATCACTTAATTTGAAAAATTAATTGATTAATACACTCACCACAATCCTTTTGAAATGGACAGAGCGAGCTTAGAAAGAAAAAATATATTTTTAATTTAAGAAAATTAAAATTATGCAGAAACCATTCAAAAACTTGAAGAAGAAATTAAACTTTTAAAAAGCAGCAATAATCGTTCACTTTAAATTTAGTAATTAGAAGCAGACAAACTTTCAGGTAGTAACTACAATTATTTAACAACAAATTCGAGTGGAAGAGATATTAGAAGGTAAATGAAGGAAAACTAATCTCCTTTAAGTAATAGGAGTTTGAGTGGAAGCCTATCTTAAAGTCCTCATCATTCTTCAGGAACTCTATAAGCAGGTTCAAAATCAGAAAAATTAACTCTCGCTGCATCTATCAAAAACCAAAAAATTAACAGCAAAGGTAAGAATGCTCTCTAAAATTGTTGTAAAGATGTAAAACGCCTAGGAAGCAAAACAAAAACTTCAGATAAATATAATATAAACTATAAAAGTAGCAACAATGGTGCAAATTATGACCTTGATGAAACTCGTAGACTTCTTTAGGTTGAAAAGTAAAAAAACCAGCTTCTTTCTAAAATGCTGGAAGAAGAATAAGAAAAAACTAGTGAATATCTGGTTTACAAAGAGGAAATCGATTTCTATCATCAAAAAAATAAATAGTTACAAAATGATATACTATTACTTTAAAGCTAGCTCAATTAAATATAGCTATCAAACTTATCAATTAAAGTACCTATGTAATAAACTTAAATCTAAGAAGCTAATTCTCCGAGGTAAGTATCTATGTCTCCTCGATAGTAAATAAAAAGAATTTGTAATACCTAGCAACCTATTTAAGGTAACATCAAGAGACCTTAATCACCTAATCAATCTCAAGGTAATTTGAATTATGAACCAAGATCTCCAAGTCAATCTTGTAAATCTGCTCGAAGAAATACTCAATAAACAGATGGTTATTCTAGTGATGAAGAAGGAGTGAGAAAATGTAGAGTTCCTGGAATAGCAGCTGGAATGAGTAAAGGTAAAAACAACTATAATAAAAGAGGAGGAGGAAACGAAGAATAGAGTGATTAAATATTAGCATTTATGTAAATAGAAAAAGAACTTAATTAAGAATTATAAAAAAAAGAAAAATAAATAGAAAATATCATAAACTCAAGAAATTTAATGTAAAAAACGCTAGGAGATTAGATAATAATTATTAAAAATCAAAATAAATAATTAAACGAGCAAACCCGTGACTTAGAAAACCAAATAATTATATTAAATGAGGAAGTAAAATCTTTAAGAGTATTAGTAAAGAGAGCTGAAAAGAAAAATTTAATTGGAAACGATTTTATTCCAAATAACGATTGAATAAAAAAAAACAAAATACTACAAAAAAAACATTAATAAAGTAAATTTATAAAAATTTATCAATTTTTGTTTGCAAAAAATAAAAAATATCGTTTTAATTTTAAAAGTAGATTAATTAATTTTACTTAAAATATTTATTATTTAAATTAATTTTTTAAATTAAACTCAACCTTACACTTTTAACTTATAAAATATGATGCATGTTGACACAAATACTCTTAAATTGCTTTAAAAAAGCTCTTAATATAATATTAACTGACTAAAACCACAAAATAAAGAGCAATCTATCACACAACTTAAACAAAAAAATCAATAATTTGAAGTGTGCAGCATTATATTAGCAAATAAGATTCTATTTTTTATTTACTTCTGTTAAAAAATAAAAATTATTATTTTAATTTTCTTAATTTATACACATTATATTTATTATTTAAATTAAAATTTGCAATTATATTATTTTAATTAACTAAATTTATATATACTAAAACGCAGTTAAGCTAGTTTAAAACCATTTTATAGAAGATTAGATTTCTAAACACCACAAAATACACAGAAGTAGATAATTCATTTTGATAAAAATTGATTTTATTATCAATGACTTTTTAATTAATTATAGCTACACAGTAAGTATTTAGTGATGTGTGCATGAATGAATGAATGTATGGTAAGAAGAATTAAACATAAATTTTATTTTGTCTATTTTTCTCATCTAGCCCATTCGTTAATTTCCTTATCGAGTTGAGTATGTTCGGCCATGTATTATTCGTGGAATTCTTCATAAGTATCCATACCAGCAGGGAAATTAAGTCCCTTAACATATTCTTAAACTTTGAAAAGTCTGTGTTCTAAATTTCTTTAGTTTTAACCTGTTTATCTTGTCATTTCTTGGCCCAAACACAACAAAAGGAATTCAGGTTCACACTATTTTACATTATCATAATTTAAAGATTACTTAATATTATTTTTTCAAAGCAAATTTCAAAACAAATTTATTATTCAGCAAATATTTTGTGTTTTTAATCTTTCATAATAATTACAATTATCGAATTTTAAAACAATTTTATATGAAAGTTATACTTTTAATAATTTAACTTATATTTCTACCAATATTGACTAATTACTTTTTATTTTTTGTTGAAATAATTATAAAAAATAAATATTTTCATACTCTAACGGCGAAGTAACCCTTAGCTTAGGGAGCTTTATCTATATCGATTTTGACAAATTCATATTCAAGATGAGTATCAGAAAGCTTGTCGAAATCTTTATCAGCCTATTCACAACTAAATATAAAATAGAATTAATTATGCTCATTAATTAATAATAATTCTTTCATTCTTAATCTCTTAAAAAACGCTTATGAAATAAAATTTTCTATTTTTTAAACTATTTTAGTATTAAATGAAATGAGATTATAAATAAACAATCTACAGAGGATTCCAGTCAGCACGGAAATATAAACAAGCGAGCTTGGGTTTAAGAGTATCAATATATGTCTTAGCAGCCTTAAAATCATTGAAAGAACGTACTCTTGAAAATTATGCGTTTAAAGCTTAATTTAATTTTAAAACCTTAGAAGCGGATTTGCTAATATTGATCATTTTATACTTTCTTTCACTATTAAATCTAAAATAAATTCTTATTTTAATTTGATTAATTTTTGATTCTCCCTTGATAATCTTCTTAATAAAGAATGATATACTTTTTATTTTATTTTCTTATATCTATATTGATTAATATATAGATAGATCTATCATTTATTCATAAAATATCTAAATGATATTTCTTATAAAGTCATTCTTTCTTTCTTTCATTCATTCAATCAATCAATCAATCTTAAATACAAACAAACATATAAATTTTCATTTTCTAAATCTATAAAGTGTTTTCATTTTTAAAATCTTTAACAAAGAAAATAAATAAACTATTTTGAAATATTCAATACAAAAAAATATGAAATGTTATAATTTAGTTAGATAAAATGTTTGTTCTTTTTCTGGAAAATAAAAAAATTATTTTGTAATAAATTTTCTTTTTAAAAAAGTTAAAAATAATATTAGATTTAAAGCATTTTCCCATTTTTTTTATTTAAAAAGTAAATATATCTATCTATTGATAAATTAGATTAAATCAGTTTTATTTAGAAAATATTTTTTGTCTAAATTTTTAATTGATTGCAATAAATTTTTTAACTTAAAGCTTTTGAAAAATAAATTTATAAAATTAATAATCATTTTTAAGTTAAATTTTAATTTAATTTTGCTTTTTTCATTTTAAAAAGTAAAGAAAAATTTAAATAACTAGTGAACTTTGTCAATTATAAAAATCTGTTATTTTAAAAAAATTGCAATTAAAACTTTTTACAATTTATTAAAATCTAAGCATTTTATTTGTTACAAAATTGTTGGAACTCTGTTCAGGATATTAAGATTTGATTTTTAGCATTTAAAATTGATAAAAATTTTTATTGTGAATTATATTTTATAATTATTTTATTTAAATTTATTATATCAGTTATAGAAGTTCTATAAATTTTATAATATTAATTATTTTAACAAAAAAAAACAAATATTTTTTTAGTTTGTATTCTTTTTTTTCAAAAATTATTTGAAGCAGAGTTATTTTTGCCATTTAATATTGATTGACTAAAGAGCCCTTTTCCTAAATATGATGCTATTGTATCGAATTTATTTTCTTTTCTGCTTATATTTTCTAGGAATTAAGTTGAATCACTAGCCTTTTCGTCAAATCCTTCTTTTCTATTTAGGATAGGCTTGAAATTATCAGCACATTTTTCACATTCTTTTTGTGCAGAATCACCATGTAAACATTAATCATGATAGCTGTGGCCACACATGAAATGAACACGAGTACCTGATAAGTCATTTGTACATTCTTAGCATTACTTTTGACTGAAAATCTGTTATTAAATTAAAAATTTATATTTAATTATCAATAATAGTAAAAAAAATACTTTTGCTTAAGTCTTAAGTTTCATGTACTCTTCTCTGTCTTGATTAGCTTCTTTGGTTTTTTCTTCAACAACCTACTTGTCTTTTTCTATTTAGTTTCTATCTTCTTGAAGCTTTTAAATAAAGAAATCCTTTACAATTTTAAATTCAACATTTTTATTTTTAGCTAGGATATTCAAGACCAATAAGGGAGACAGAGTGTTTAAGTTTTAGATATTTTATAGAATCTTTTAAAGCTTTTGTTCTGTTTGTTCTTTTTAATCTTTAGTAAATCTATCAGGGTGAGTGAAGTATTTTAAAGCCTTATTTTAAGAAAATATATTTATTCATCATATTTGTTAAGTTATTTTAATTATTTTACTTAAACCCATAGATTTGTTTCCTCTTTATTATCCTTGCAAGTTTCAATAATTTTATCTCCTTGATTTGTCATAATATAAAAGTTAAGGAGTTCTTCTTTTAATCTCATTTCATTGTAGAGATGGATGATACCAGGTTCGAAATTATACATTTTAAAGAGAACTAACAAGTGATTTTTATCATACTTTTAGGCAAATTGAGAGTTTTTGAGCAAATCTTTAATGTATTATTCCTTTTCTTGTTTAACAGTTAGACCTTTCGAATTTTTGCTTTTAAATAGTAGATATAATTAATTACATTCAATTTTATTAAATATTAAACCTTAATTCTAAGCTTTATTTCTTGCTTTCCAAATGGTACTTTTCAAGATAGAATTCAAAAAGTCTATGCAAAAGGGCTTTCTGATTATCAAAGAAATCAATGTAATCTGTTAAAAACTTCAAATACCTTTCCAAGTACTCATCTTTACCGTTTACAAAAATATGGAAATATTTATCTGGTTCATTTAACAAATCATTGTAGATTTAAGGAATGTGACTTTCCTTCAAACCAAAATAATCTAGAGCGGCTTTTTACTCAATAGAAATATTGATCTTTTAGTTAGATGATGCATTTTATTATTATTTATCATAACCTTTTCTAAGACTACGAAGCATAACTATTTTTTGAATTAATTCCAAACACTTTTCAGAACAATTTTTCATAAGCACTTAACCAAATTCAATGATAAACATTTCCTTTTTGTTTAACTCTACCTTGGTTCTAATATAATTGATAGCCTTTTCAGTCTATTGAGATTATCCTTCTTGTTCCATTTCTAAAAGAATTTCTATGTATTATTCATACTAGTCCTTTTACTCAGCTAAACGTAGAGCAAGGTCATTTTTTTTAGCTTCTCTGCAAACCTTTTTAAAAATTTAATTATCTTTAATTCCCCTAATCAAAAAATACCTTAATTGCAGTTTCAATATCAAATAACTCAACATCATATTATTTAGAGTCTTTTTTGTTTGTTAAAAATTTGTCCAGCTCATCAATTTTCTTTTACTTTACAAAACAGTTTAACAATAAGGCAGTGTGGTGCTTGTCTGCTTTTTATTTATCATGCACTTCTTGTAAATATTAAATTAAATATTCTATGTGAGCAACATCAAGGAATTTTCTAATAATATATGAGGGCTCGATATGACCGATAGTTTAAATATATTTCTTAATTGCTTCATTATAATCACTCTATTTATTACATAAATATAAAAATTAAATAAAAACTCATTAAAACTAAATACCTTAGTGTATAAATTGTCACCATGCAATCTTGAGATTTCTGCTAAGAGGGCAGGATCTGAATCTTGATTTTTAGCAAATTTGTATGCAACATCAAATTAGGATCTTTTAAAGAAATATTCGATCTTGTAAGCATTTTCTTTTTCTTTCAATCTAATGAGTTTCTTTTATCTGTTGATACCTTAAATTAAATGTATATATTCTTTAGATGAGGAAATAACTTGGACTGATTTGTAAGCTACTTTATGTGCAATATATCTAAATTAATTTAAAAATCAATAATTAATTTAAAAATAATTAGATAAGAATTAATCAAATTACTAGTTAAGAGTATCCAAAATAATTATTTAGGAATCTTCACCTTATTTTGAGAGAATGATCAAATAATTTGTAGAATGGGATTTTATGAGCTAAACAAAAATAAATTTTATTTTATTTAAGTTTAATCATTTAAAAGATTTTACTTATTTTTCATATTTTTCATCTTCAAGTCTGATATCATTCTAATTTAAGTGCTTGTTTATGTCAAATTCTATAACAACAGAAGGGTTTGCTTTAGTGCAACCAATCAAAGTGCCTTTGCTAGTTATATCAAATAAGCTTCCTTTGTTTAAAATATTAAAAGTGATTAATATTTATAAAAAAAATATCATTATATCTTTTGTTTTGAATAAAATTTGCTTTCTGATAAGAGAAAACCTAATTAAATTAAATATTTTTTTATTTATTAAACAGCAATTATCTTTTGAATTTCAAATCTTTTACCTCCTGATACACTGAGAGCTACCTTTTTATTGCATTTTTACCAACATTATATGGCATCATCAGTAGTTATGAATAAGTTTAAGTTTCCATCTAAACGAGAAAAGAATAATTATCTAATTGGTGAATTATGAGGTTTCAAAGTTAAGTCTTTGTATGCAAAATTTCCCTTATCTTATTTTGATTAATAAATGATAACGCTGCCATCATTAAAACCTAGAGCAATACCTTGCATATCTTCAGTAATGCAAAAGGCATTGCAATCTTTCATTAATGCATCCTTACTTGCAAGCATTGTATATTTTGGGGCTATTATTGATCAATAAAATAAAGAACATTAATTTTAAATAAAAAATTATTTTAGAATAAAAAAACATATTTAAGCACTCTCTTTTTTTTAATTAATTTTAATTTTAAATTGAGAACTTTTAAAGAATATTTTACTTTTCATCAAAGCTTTGTCCTTAATATTAGTATCATAAAACTTTAATTGTGACTAGGCATTTTATTCTGAATCTAAACCATGAGCTATCAAATAATTCTTGGCACTATAAATTGAAAAAAGTTATCCTTAAAATGGAACAAATGTATCAGGCTGATTTCCATCTTCATATATAATCACTTATTTACTTTTTTTTGAAGCTAAATAAAGTTTTTGATTAATATATTCTATTTTAGAAATTTCATCTTCCTATATCAAAGGTTAAAGAATAGGCTTGTTTTTATCTTCAAATTCTTTTTCATCAAAGAATGTGAATTTCTTTAACTATTCTTATTTCGGCTTATTCTAATTCGATTACTACTAGGCTTAATTTTGCATTTTTTATCTCTAAAATTGCCTGCTTTATTCTTTCTTTACAACTATAAATACTTTATCTTTTGTAAGAAGCTATTTGAAATCAAAAACTTTTAATTAGATAATAATTATTTAATAAAGTAATGCTTATAAAATAAATAATTACTCAAGTTTTGCGTGGATATCAAAAATTAAATCTTAATAATGAAGAATATCTAAAATTGGAATAGATTAAATTATTTTTTTGTAAAATAGTATGAAGCTCCTCATAAATCAAAACAATTTTTAAGACTAATTTCCTTTGTTTTAAAATAAAATAAAATATTTTTTATTATAATTTTTAATTTGTTTTTAAATTTAATGTTGTAAAAATAATTAAAATAAAAATTTAATAATTTTCATTAATTTTTTATTAAATAATTGCATTAAAAAAATTTAAAACAATCAATTAAATAGATAATATTTTATTTAAGAAAATAATTATTAGAATTTGAGTTTAAATCTATTTGTCATCATTCACTCATATTGTGATCTAATGTTCATTTAATCCACTTTTTTTTAGAATAAAATCTCATTTTAAATATCATAATAAATATGGAGATGATGTAATTAATGTTATGATTGTATAATATTAATGATTAATAATTAACATACTCTCCAAAATTCTTAATTTATTAAAAAAATTATCTAGAAGCAATTTCATAATAACTAAATTAACTAAAAAAAATTAATAACTTGATTTAAATAATCTAAAAGCTAAAACCTACGTCATTATTACTATCTCTAAAGTCGATATAAAACATGGAAATTATAGGGTATGGAGGTCTATTTATCTCCATGGGTGTAACAATAGGACAATTTTTAAAGAATTATGGAATACTAAACTTAAAATACAAACGATTAGAACAATTGTAAGTTTCTACTCCTTAATAGCTAGTTGATGAAATAGAGAAGGAGTTATAGCAGAACTTAGTTGCTAGCAACTTAAGTTTTATTAGAAAAAATTAAGTCTTTATTGAAGGAGTTATATCCTCTAATCATCTTGTTAAGTCGATTCTCGTATAAGGCTTAGAGGTTTTGTATTCGCTTTTTTATCAAAAAGAGTTATTCACAAGGAGAGAATACTCAAAGAATGCTTTCTTTCCTTTGCTGCTTCCTGAAAGTGAAAAAAAGTTTGTTAAAATAGCATCAAATTTGTTTTTAAAGGACTACGAAAGTCCACAAGTATGTGATATATAAAAAAAACCTAATACTAATATTTAAGGTAAATAAAACGATTATGTTTAAAATATTTATTAATTTATTAAAATAAACTATAGCTGCACTTGTATTACTTCAGATGAAAGCAAACTTTGTTAAAAGAGGAATTTTTTCAAATATTATGCACTCTATAATAGATTTTACAAAGCTACTTTTGACCATTACATATTTAAAATTTAATTATCTCAGAAAAAAAGTAACAAGAATATTATTTATTTTTTATTTTTAAAAAATTATTTTAAATTGAATTTATAGGGAACACATGAAGGAACTTTAGATGTAGAGATGGGATTAAAAAATAACAGTCTTGTTACTATTTTTGGAGACATAATATATGATGTTAGAAATAAAAAGTTGGTTATGGAGAATCCTCTCTATATTTTAAAGGATAAGGAATAACTGTTAAAACTACTATAAAAAAGATTGATGTAAAGAAGGATATTTATTCTTATTTTATCTATTCCTTTCTTAATTGGAGGGTTCATGTTTCTTAAAAAGCTGATAGAAGTTGTGTAAAAATACATTTAGATCAAAAGAGATAAATTAATTACTCATCTTAGAGAAAAAATGGATTTAATTGCTTAGGATAAAAATATAGGAGACAACTAAAAGTGTAACATATGTTATTCAAATTTAAGAAATATAATTCTAAAGCCTTGCTTACATATGTGTCTTTGCTACAGTTGCCTGAAAAGAATAAAGAAATAGGAGTGCCCAATTTGCAAAGCAGAGATCATAAGTTACATAGAGTTATTCCTTAAATGAAATGCATTTTTCTTGTTAGTAATATTTAGCTAAATTTAATAGGCATTACAAAAATTATAGATTTTTACATGTGAAGCAGGAAATATAAGCTAATAATTAATAGTAACAAAATTATTTTAAACTTAAGTGATTTCGGTAAATTGATAAAATGTAGATAAAATAATTATAATTTAATAAATTAGAAATTAATGGAATTATTTTATTTAAAATAAAAAATTATTAAAATTAAATACTATACTAAAAACTACTCACTTATGTATTCATTACTTTATATTAAAATTTTATTTTTATATTGTATCTAATATATATGATCTTTTTGCCTCTTCTTTTAATCATTTTTAAATTTTTAATTGCAATTCTATCTACTCGTTTTTCTGTCTAAATTCTAAATAAGTGTTTCTATGTTTGTGTTTTAGTATTCACTTTAAGAGCTAGTTTTTGGTTTCTTATTATTATAATATAGCCAACCAATATCTATCTTTAACAGTATATAAATATCTTTTTCAATTAAAAAAATTATATAAATCGCTAAAATTAAAAATGGATTCACAAGAAGATGACTCATAATAGGTAAAAATTTTTGTAAGGAATAAATAATTATATAAAAACCATACTGATTAAGGTTTACATGAGTGATGAAGAAGATGGGAATAAAACATAAAAGCAAAACTCTAGTCTGGAAGATTTCGTTTTTGAAAATAAGAGAGTTTTAAGGAGAAGAAATTAGCAAAAAATGTAAGGATAAGATGAAAAGGTAGAGCTTTAATAAAATGAATAATAAAAACAAAGACAAAAAAATGGCAATAAAAAATAGTAAAAATAAACATAAAAAATGGAGGAAGATATAAATTATATTGAGTAAGATGAGTAATAAAATAATAAAAATAAGCGTAATCAGTCTACTAGAAGCAAAAGCTCTACAAAAAAAAGTACTAAAAAGTAAGATATGATAGATGAGTAAGAGGAATTAGCGAATAGCAACAATAGCTATAAAAATGGAAAAGAGGAAGAGTAAGAAGAAAGTGGAAGGTAAATTTTTAATCAAAGCTTAAAATTGTAATAAAAATATACTAAAGTAATTATTAGGAAGATGAAGATAGCTCAGCTGAGGATGTGTTAAGTAAGCCAAAAAAATTAAAATAAATAAAGCAAGCTAAAGAAAATGAAAAGAAAAAAGAAAAAGCAAAAAATAAAAGTTAAAATGATAGAAAAAAGCAAAAAAGGAGTATTAATGAAAAGCTTTTAAACGAATATTCTGGTATCATATTTGATGCTCTTTAAGATATTCAAGAAAAAAAAATTACAGTAGTAAGCTTAAGAAAAGCAGCAAATAATCTTTAACTCACTAATATTTCAGATGAGCAAATTATAGTAAAATTTTATTATCATTTCTTAAAAAAATAATATTAATTTCTTAATTATTGAAAAAAATTAGGAAATGATTAATGTGATGAATGAGAATCTGTACAAAGAGGATGTTGATGAAAATCTTTTGATACATGAACTTAATAAAAATGACTTAGTTGAAATTATAAAAGAATCTAATTTTAAATTTAATTGATAAAAATATTTCAAATTTAAAAAATAATTTTGTAAAATGTTTATAAAAAATTAGAATTTAAATTTAATTAAAAAAATTTTAAATAAATTAAAATTAATTATTTGATATTTATTGTTTTGTTTGTGATAATATTTATAGAATGAATTATTTATTTATTTGAGATAAAGTAAAAATCTAGTTGCAAAAAATAAAAATTATAATTATCCAAATTATATTATTAATTACGAAGATATTTTTATTTTTTTTTTAAATTTAGAGGGATTTAATATTTAAAAACAATCTGATCACGAATCAATAAACTAAGGTATGCATAATATACTGACTGACTGATTTTATTGATAAATTGAAATTTAAATTTTTTAATATAATTCTTAATATCCTATTAGTATCAAAAAAAAAATTAAATAAAAGCTTTTCAAAGTTAGTTGTTGGCCATATATAGATTTAATAACAAATTAGCAATCGTAGGTTATAAATTCTAATTTAAAATAAATATAAAGCTTAAGAATTAAACCCATTTTTAAGAAAATGAAAAAATCTGACTATAATTTAGCCAAATATTTTATAGTTTTAGCAAATATTTAATTAATACATTATCTAGCTTTTGCTTAACAATTAATTTCATTATAGCCCTATTAATGTAGTGGCACTTAATTTTATGATGGTAGAACATTTTCTTGCACAGTAAATATAAAATTCTAATTATAAATCATCTGATAACTATTTTTTATCAAGAATTAAGTTGATAATACTATAGGTTCAGACAAGACAACTATTACTTGCGATCCAACTAAATAGTATTTTAAATTAGGTTAAATATGCGTTTAAAATACATAAGTAGCCGGTTCTACTTCAGTATAAGGTATTTATGCTGTAACAAATGGAAACTTTGCTTTTGAAAATTGTTTAAATAATTCTAATTAATATCAGTAATGAAACATTAAATTTTATATGAAGAAATATTTATTTTTATTTCTTATTTAATAGGACATAATATTGTTTCCCTTAGTTGAATACATGCACAGCATCAAATACATAAAAATGTATATACTTATAGTCAATTTTTTAAAAAATTCCTAATAAGTTAATCAATGGATTTGATTTAACTAGTAAATATTAAGTTATGTCGGATGTTGGATAAGGTTAATTTGGATATATAGATACTAGTTTTCCTTTTTCAGCAGCAGCTAAATCTTCAGTTGAAAATTAAATTATAAACGCTTATGCATGTTATAGTTAAGGGAATGCATAGAGAATGCATCCAAAAAGCTGTAACTATTTGATAAATAGATGCTTGATAAGAGGATTTTCTTCTGATTATGAAGACTGTGCACTTTTATAAAGCATTAGTAATTCAAAGTTCACTGCAGGATAACAATAGCTTTATCAATATTTGACCTCTAGCTACACTTAGTAATCGATTAATACTAATCTATATGTGATGTTATATGATTAAGATGGAGAGTTCATAGATTTTCGTCCATTTACTACAGATTTATAGTTATGCAGCAAAGGTGTTAATGATGACAATGCTTTTAAAACTTTTGGCTCAAGCTTTGATAACCGATGCTAGCTAGATCCAACCACTATCAAATCTACATCTAATTTCTTTGAAATCTATACTTAAGACCAAAGTTCATCTTCACAGACGACAAATAAGTTTTAAAAGCTTTAAGTGTAAGTTACTTACTATGATCTTTGGGGTAAATCTGATACAATAAATGTTAACAGATTTTACTTGTATGAAAAAGGGTTTTATGTAACAAAAAGTTATTAAATTATTAAATTATAATTATTTTAATTTTAAAATTAGGATTAAAAAATATAAGTAGCCACTTCTATAAATTTGATTATTGATGTCTCAAATTCTTAAGCATATATCAAAGTCAACTATCAATAATTATAAGCCACTAGCACAAGTACAACGACAGTCAATTTTTCAGTAAATAACAAATATATTTATTTAAGCTAAAGTTTTTTAAATTAATAAAATAAGGTTTCATATCAAAGTACAGGGAGCTCTTTAGATAATTTTTGGCTAGTTATTAAAATTTTCTTTGCTATTTACCTCGTTCTTGTATTTTTATGGTGTCTTGCAAGATTTTACATTTGGACTATGTACAATCCTCGTACAGATGGAGTAATTTATTTTTATTTTTAATTTAATTAAAGTAAAAATATTAAAAATTATTAAATAAAAGCAATAAAGAATGATGCCCAATTACACAGTTAAGTTTTTGTGGAATATATTTGTAATCATATGTGACTGCTATGGAGAAGCACTTATATTTTTCTTGTTTATCCTTAGTGCAGCCTTATATATTATTGCAAAAGTAAATTTTTAATTAATTTTTGTCAATTAAAATTATTGTTTAATTAAGGCCTCAACCTCTCCTAACTTTATTATGCCACCAAGATTCTCTGATAGCTAAATCTATACTTCATTCATCATTTGTTGTGCATTTGGATTTGCATTTAAGCTTATTGCCACTTTTAATTTAATATTAAAGTAATCAAACTGTTAAATCTATTTCTTAGATTGGGAGCCCAAAAAGAAGTTCTTGCATTAAGAAGAGGATAAAGGGTAAATTAAAATCTATTATTTTAATGAAAAAATAAAATTATAATTCTATCATTTTTTATAAAGTTAATCAAGTTGGAGAACATTGTTCGTAGCAAATGAGTTTAACGAACTAGCTGTTTATAGGATAGTTTCTATTGAATGGACTTTATTTTTTATGGCAATGCTTATGAATGGTGTGGATTGGGAAAATGGAGCAAGCAACACATTTTCGAGCTCTTCTAATTTACCAACTTAAAATATTGGTATAAATATCATTTACAAGTTTTTCATAAATGCTAGTTTGTTTTTCTTTATTGGATTGATATAAATTATTGCTAGAAATTTAATTAAAATATGGGTCCCTTTCAAAATATAAGATTTCACTGATTTTTGTTCAGTTTCAAATGTGAGTATATTTATATTTGACGATTATCTCCATGGATATTATCTTCATGGTTAATCTCCCGATAAATACGCTGAAGGTGATTCTTTGTGGCTAATGCAGTGCTTAGGAGATGATGTTCCTATTGAATTTTTCTAAACCAATAATTATAATAGATTTGGTAGATTTCCAAATTAATTTAATAATTCTATGATGATGAGATAGTTATAGTAAGGCACTGGAGGTAATATGGGATATCAAAGTGCAAGAGGAATGTAAATGATGCAATAGCAGCCTGGAGCTATGGGCATGGGAATGGGTATGGGTATGGGTGGTCTCCCAGGTTAACCATAATAAGGAAATTTCCCTACATAAAAGATGAAAAGAGAACAAAGAGGGTTAAACAATACAAATGATTAAATTTTTGAATTTTTCATGTCATGGGACTTAAGAGAATAGATTGATTATGTAAAATAATTAATATTTATCAATAACTATTATTAATATTATTTTAAATTCAAATATTTTTTAGATGTTTGAAGTTAGACAAAAATCTATAGAATATCTTGAAAAAAAGAGAAAAGAATTAGAGCTAGCTAAAAAGGCAAAGCAAAATTTAAAACAGAATAAAAAAAATAATGAATTGTAAAAAAATTTTAATTCAATTTTGTATTCTTAACATATTTTATTAAAATTAGGGAAATAGAAGAATAAAAATCTTTAAAAAATATAGAAGATGTTAAAGAAGCTGAAAATAACTAGAACTATTTCGCAGACATTACAATTGAAAATGGTGAAGAACTCTTCAAACCAAAAATGGATGGAATTTTAAGAGAAGTAATCAGAAGTATGAACAAAGGAGCTGGCTAAAATTCTAATATTTTTGAAATGGAGTTTTCATAAAGGTTCTTGCTGCATTTACCTCCTCCTACTCATGTAGATAGAAGATTTAATTAAAATATGTTTTATGTGGATCGTGACAATATTTTCTCTAGTGTTTTATATTCAGGCTATGAGTTTACATTACTTTATTTTTACATAACTGTCTATACCTTTATAGATCTGGTATCGGAATCAACACTAGTTGCTGTAATAGTTACTTATGGTCTAGACTATATCTTTAAGTATATCAGACAAGAAAGAGGATAATCTAATATCAGCACTAAAGCAGGTATTGATGAGCAGTTTTTAATTTGAAAACAAAAAACTCTCAATATTTAACTCAAATAGAATTTAAAAAGTATTTATTTATATCTATAAAATAGATTACCATTTTTAAATTATTTGTTACTTAATTCAGTTCAAAGATTTTTGCATTTATAAATGTTCATTTAATTAAGAATTAATTATTTTTTGTGAATTTTATTACAAAAAATAAATAGAATAATTTTACAGATAACTTATTTATTTATTTATTTTGTTATATTAAGTAGTTTAAATTAATATTTATTTATTTAGTGTGTATTTTTTAATTTATATCAGTTAATTTTTTCTTAATTTTTTGGAAAACTCTTTTCATCAAAGTTGATTATAATAAATATTTTTGACAAAATTAGAGATTTTTATAGATTTTGTAATTAACTTTATAGAGTGTATTTATAATTTTAGTTTTTTTTTCAGAATTAATTTTTTTTATATGAAGATCAACATTAGTCTATCTCATCTATTATAAAGTGCACTTACTTTTTTTTTGTTCCTAAAATTTATATTTGCTTACTTAGATTAGATAAATTGCTTGTGGAATTGTAAATGGGAAATTATATCTCGTTTAACTCTAAATTTGCCTAACTCTAGCAAGTTTACTTCTCTTTTTGTAGAGACTAAGAGGATTTAATTGATGGCAGTTTTAAAATTGAAGGATTTTATTCTTTTTATCTCTACTATTTAATTTTGGAGACTATTTTATTCATTTCTTTTGCTAAATTGAAGCTCTTTTAAATTTAAAAATTAAAATTTATTAAAATTAATTGGAATATAAAATAATTACCATTATTTTTTATATTCGATCATTGTTTTTTTTATCTTTTTGTGTTAGAGGAGTATTTTTATTTTAAGTTTATGTTTAAGATTCAATTGAATCACTAAATGTGCTTGTAGCTAAAACTCTACTTGATTATGAGTTTTTTATTCGGCTTTGAGGTGTCAAAAATTCGTTTGGTATGATGAGTTAATTTGCTTATTTTTAAATTTGGTTAAAATTAGAACTAGGTAGGTTTAAAGGTTTGCTAGAAGAATTTTAAAAGTATTGAATTTGCTTATTATTATTTGCTATTTTTTCACAGCTTTAAGGACTATCTATATCATTTTGTTATACTAAAATGGGTGCTCTATTCTATAAATTTTTTTTTTCAGAAAGTGTTTCATTGGTTGAGATATATTTTTTCATATTTTATTAGCTATTCTACTGCTAGATTATATTCACTTAAGAGCTGTTTGAAATTATACCGCTATTTCTTTTTTTGTTGAATAAATTAAACTTTATTGCTCTAAAAAACTCCTTTTTGTCGTTACAATCGTATAACATTGAAGATGAGTTTTCATTTTTATAGAAAATTGATTATTATATAGGTTTTTTTAGATTAGATTAAGCTTAATTTAGTGAAGTACTTGTTTGCGGTGCCAAATATGGTTGTTGCTAATATATTTGCTATTGCTAAATAAATTTATTAGTAGAGTTAAAATAGCAATTCATTTCATTATTAATTAATTAAGTACCACTATTATTTCTTAAGGGCCAGTTACTATTATTATTTTCTTTGAATGAATATGGAGTAGCAAGGCTTAGGCACATTTTTTTAGTAAATTTTCTCTTTGGTAATTTGCCACCTTTTTGGATTATATCTTTGCTTTAGTTACTGTCAAATGATTATTAACTTAAAATTGGGTAGTCTTGCATCTCATTAAACTACTCTACAGAATCTTCAGTATTAATTCTATAGTCTATATTTGACCTGGGTGAAAATAATGAGTTATTATCATCAAAATAGAGAAATCCTTTTTATATTGAAATATCGTTTTTCATTTTGTAACCTTAATATTAAGAATTTTCAATTTTTTACATCAAAATTAATTATTCTTATCAATTAAATATTATCTTTTCGAGGTGATAGATCTTACGTTCGTTTATTAATAAGTAAATTATGTTGCTTTTTATTTTACTTTTATGGTAAATATTGTCTTTAAAGTATTGGCATAAAAATTGTACTATTTTTATAAATTGTTTATGTAAACAATTTAAAAATGTGATTGAGGACAATACTATAATTCACTTCTATTAGTATAATTTTTTTTTATAAAATATTAATTAAAAATTTGCATTCATTAAAATTTAAGTTTATTACTGTGTATATAAATTGAGTACTTGAAACCATCTAAAGTTATTAAAAAATTTAAAAGCTAAATTCATATTTATTTATATCTAGCCTAATAAATATATTATCAATAATTCAATAGAACCTTCAAAATCATGTGATTATGAATTTTTGTCACACTTTTTTTGGAATTTTAAGACTTTGATTTATAAAAAATAATTCTTAATTTTAATTTTTCACTTTTGGTGAGAGCCTATCTTCAATTATAAAAATCGAATTGTAATCACTGGATATTGTGGTATTTTAATAAATATAACAATATGATGGAGCAATATATTAAAAAAAATATATACTTGGATATTATAAATTAAAAAATATTTTATTATTTTTAATTAATAATTTAAACTTAATTATTATTTTTTTATCTTAGATTTAATTTAATGAGTTGATGTTAGAGTAAAATTTATAAAACAAATAAGTTTTTTATAAATATATATATTTATAAAATAATTTTTAAAGAGATATTTATGTTAAATTTTAAATATTTTAAAATATTTATTACAAACATGAAATGTATTAAAAAATTAAAACAGTTTTATTAGTTTATATATTTATTTACAAGCTCACTTAGGTTTTATTAAAAGACAAAACAAAATCTATTCTTATCTTTTTAATATATTATTTATTCATTTTAAATAATATGATTAATATGCAATTAATCATTTGTGTTTTATAATATATTCATTTATTTCATTCACACTTACTCACTATACTTAAACAATTTTTAGATTATTTGTCATTCCAGATAAATTTTCTATTTCACCAGAAGTGATTATAACATAATCACCTGATTTAACATACTTTTAATCTTTAGCGTATTCTAACACCTTTTCTGTAAGTACATTAGTTCCTACAAGGGTAAAGAATACCTTACCAGTAACTGATGATAAATAATTTATATGTCTTGCAACTTTATGGTTCGATGTGACAGCTATTATAGGACATGGAGGTCTTAATTTTGAAACTTTGAGAGCAGTGCTTCCAGTACTTGTAAATACAATAATAAGATTTGCTTATATATTATAGGCAGCATCAAGAGTGCATTTAACTATTGAATTTATTACAGATTGTTTTGACCACTATATTTAAATTGGACGAGTCGTGTCATTTAAATTTTTTAAAATTTATCTTGCTTCTGTCTCCATACAAATACGAGAAAGAGTTTCAACAGCTTGAATAGGATACATTCCATAGCTTGTTTCGCCGCTTAAAATAATAGCATCTACATAGTCTGATACAAGATTAGATATTTCTCCTACTTCACAAGTAGTAGGAAGCAATGAAGAAACCATGGAATCTAATATGTTACATGACACTAAAACAGGCTTTAAGCTTTCATTTGATTTTTAAATAAGTTCTTTCTATTTAAAGTGAAGCTTTTCAACAGGTATGTGAACTGTTAAATACCCTCTAGCTATCAATACAGCATCAGAAACCTTTAAAATTTCATCATAATTTTATACACCTAATTTTAATTAAAATTATATATATAAAATTTAAAAAGCTATTTGGTTAGTTAGTTAGTTACCTTCTAAAGTTTAAATTTTAGCAATAATTTTTGTCTATTTTGACTGACAATGCCTTTTGACAACTCTGATATCTTCTGCTGTTCTTACATTTGATACACATACACTATCAATGTCATGATTAAGAGCATTTGTAATATCAGTGATATCTTTTGCACTTATGACATTTTCACTGAATTCATCATATTCCTCATCATCAAAATCTTATTCTTCACCATTAGAATCTTTTTCATCTGTAAATTAATGGTTTTTATTTAATTATTTACTCTACTTACTTTACTTAGTGTAAAATAATGTTTCTTTTTCGTCTCTACTTTTATAAATGAAAATAGGTTTGTAAGATTTCAACATGCAATCACTATCAACAGTGCAAACTATCACATCATATAGTTTTTAGTTTGTATTCTTTTTAAGTTGTTTTAATTAATCTGCAAATACATTCCTAGTTGAAGGTGTTGTAGTATTTGATGAGATTACGCTATTATCAGCAGATTGTTCATATTCATTTGTTTAAATTATATTTGTTGAATATGGTAAAACTTAAACAGATTGCCTTGGAATACTCTTCTAATTAACTTATTTTATCAGTGATTCAGACATTCTCTTCTTAGAAGAACTGTCAGCGTCTGAGGCAGAAGATGTGTTGACAAAATTATCTGTGCGTTTTTACTTTTCAGTCATTGGGCGGGTAAATTAATGTCCATATCCAAAGTTTTCTTATAAATATTTAAGTGTTTCATCACTCTTTTCTTTTTTTATAACTGTTAATCCTACTTGACCATAGTCAATGATAATTTTAGCACCTACACCTATTCTTTTAATCAAATTATCATCGTCTACAGAACAGATATTAGAATCACCAACTATCTTCTTCTTAATAATTATTCTAAATTATTGTCCCTAATATTTTAAAAATGAATAGTTAATAAAGCTATTCATGGATGAACTCACTTCATTATTAGCTATTATTTAAATTTATTTTTAAGGTTAAAACGCTTGCTTTTTAAAATAAACTATTTTTTGTATTTTAATTATAGCTTAATAATGTCTTTTTTAATATTATTAATTTTGTAAGTATTTTTACCTTTCTTAAATAAGTTTCAGGTTATGATAGTTAGCCTATCCGAACTAAACTTCCTTTTAAAACACAAGTGAGTGGAATGTGAACATTATATTCTTTTTCTAATTAATCTCTCCATTAACATAATTGCGCTAAAAACTATCTTTCGCAGTAAGCCATATTAATTAAAAATGAATTGACACCTGCTAAATAAAGATCTCTAACTTAATCATATGTCTTATAATTATTTTAATTAATAGTTGCAATTATCTTTGTCCTGCGCTTTCTAATAATTTTTTATCTCAAATTTTCATAATATTCACTTTCATATTCCAGCAATTCTCCTCTTGATTTCACGAAATTTAATACTGTCCTTTTTTTATCAATTAAGTGATGTGATTTTTGATGTTGATTTTAATGGATGGCAATTGGAGTATGGTTTTCAGAATGAAATGGATCATCTGACTCATGAAATAGTAAAGATTTTCCTTGTGCTTACTGATTCGTAAATTAAAGAAGAGGAGTATCTAAAGAAGGAAGTGTCATAGAATGTTCTGATTTTTGATTAGGAGAATTCTATTAATATTTTTATTGGCTAACTTGGTTTTCTTCTTGATGATTGCTCATTGAAGTTTCATCTTAATAATGAGACTACTAGGTACATTGGTCCTCAGAATGATGATTGTTATTTTAATCAAATTATCCATGTCTAAATTCCATTCTGTCATCGTTTACGCCTTATTAAGAGTTCTATATTTTATCTGGGCTATTATTACTCATACTAAACACTAACTTTTTTTGTAAAATTTGTATGTGTGCCTTTTTGTTAATATTTAAAGTTATATTTATTTTTATTGCCTGTTTCTGGACTACTGCTTTTCTGTCCCTCTATAATTCTACTTCTCTAGATCAAATATTCTAACTATGATATTTGCTAAATGAAGCTTTAAAATGTTTATTTATAATTTTTTTGGTATTGTTTTGTGATTTAGTAGTTATTACGTAAAATTAAATGATAAAATCTCTAATTAAATATAAACTAGTTAAATTACACTTCAAATTTGCTTTTTATCTAAATAATTTTCGTATTATTATATTATTTCATTACTAAAAGTAATTTAGACAAACACTTTCATGTATTTATTGACTCAGTTATACTAATTTAATGGTTTTAATTTGTTAAATTTGGTTATAATAAAATATTTCTTCATAAATGTAAATCAGAAATTTTATTTTAAGTAAATTAATTTTAATTAGTTAAAATTCATATTTAAAGATGAGCTAATGTTTGTCTTAAATAAAATTAAATTAAATAAATTAATAATATTATTTGATCATGATCCACCTCCAATCATTTTATGAATAAAGTAATAATATATAAAGTATCACAATAGTACTTTTTAATAGTAAATAAAAATCAAAAAAGTATTACCTTGAAACTTATGAATTTACTATAAAACCTTTCATTTTAGGAATGTTTTAAATTTATGAGTTAAAAAAACTATGCGATTAAAAATACTTGTAGGAATATATTTATTTTCTAAAATATATTAAAATATTCTACTAATTTAGCTTAAAAAACTTATTACAAGAAAGCATTAGTGCATTAGTTTAAGACTACTTAAATAATTAGCGATGTTCACTACATATTTTAAGCGTGTTTATTTAAAAAATTTACATTACGTTAAGAATTTTAATCAAAATTTATGTTAGTCCTTATTTTTTATTAAAATTCTTTTTGTTATCATATAAAAATAAAGTTTTGTATTTAAAAATTTTGTAAAAATTATATTATTTAAAACCTCTGTTAATGTTCATAGTAATGATAGTCTGTAAATTTATTAATGTAGTATCCAAAATCAATACAACGTTTTATTAAATAGAATAGATTAAAAAAGAGGGTTATTTAATAAAAAGTAATTGGAAGTAAAAAATATTGATTTAGTAATGGAAAGTTTTTTTGCTTTGAAAAAAGGCTCATCTATTTAAAATTAATCAAAAAAATAAATTGGATGAATGATGAGTGAATTTTAGAAAAGAAAGTTAGATTAATATAAAGTAACAAATAAATAGGCAAAACTTTTGCACTCTCACTACTCCTTTTTAAAAATGCAGATGCAATCTTTTTAATTAATTTTTTTACTATAAAAAATTGAATGCTCATACATAAGAGATTGATTGTTTTAGATTATTTATTTTCTTTTGAATATATAAAAAGAAGACTAAAGAATTATAAAGAAAAATTAATAAATTTCACAATTCTTTTTTTAAAGGAAGAGGAAAAAGATTACTAATATTTTTTATTTTAGAGCCATTTTAATTGTAGTTTAAAACTATCTCATTAGGTTTAGAAATCACCAGAAAATGATGTTTTAAAATAATATCATTCAGAAAGAAATATATCTAAATAATAATAATTAGAATATTTCTAACTATACCACCACTGACCCAACATCCAACCATTATCCAGAATTCGCCTAATAACTTTAGGTAAACTCTAAATTTCTTAATAAATTTTCTTTTCTTTCTTCTGATAGAAGCTAACTTTCTTTAAGTCTTAAAACCCAAAAATTAAAGTAAAATTTTGCAGGCATAAATAAGTAATGCCCTTGCAATTGTCTGTTTTAACAATTTTTGCATCCCTCTAAGAAGAGTCAGTGATTTCAGCTAGTAGAATACACAATTACTTTGAAATCTTTTTTTTTCCTTCCTATCTATAAATTTTTAGAAAACAAGAAGAAATTAAGAGGGTAAAAAATATAAAAGAACTATATTTGTTTACTTTGAATGGATATATTATAACCTATTGTTTTTCTTTGAATATTTTATGAGTTTCGCGCGAGTTTTCTTTTTGCTCTACAACTTATTTCTTGTTTTCATTCAATATCTCATTAATCTATTCATTCATTTATTCTCTAGTTCTGCCTTAATTTGATTGAGTATTCTTCTATCTAATTAAAATGCAAAAAAAAATTTTTTTGCAAACTTTCTCATATGTTTAATCTCAGCCAAATCATTTTTAAAAAATCACCTCAAAAAAAAAGTAATAAAAGTATTAATTAATAAAAAAAAGTAAATTTCACCGAATACAGGATAGGCAATGGCATTTTCTTCTTAATCTCCAGTCTAAGCTATGGCATTTCCTTAAAATGTGAATAGCGGAGTAAATGGATCTAGATTAATAGGAAGTAGCAGCACATAGCAATAACATTTAGTGCAATTAAATCCATAAGATTTCATTCAAAATTGTTAAGTTATGTAAGGATAGTAATAGTAGCGCATAATTAATTCTGGATTTGATTAGCCATAGCAGTAATTTCATCATTAAATGCAGCATCAACAACCCATGCAGCAATTCTATAATTAAAGCAATCCTTCTAATGCCTTTTAGTTAAATTGCACAAATCATAACTATGCTTCATAGGTCATTTAGTAATAGCAGCATGCATAGCTTAATCAGCTTCACCAATAGTCTCCACATTAATTTTAGTAGCATTAAATTTAGACAAATATGTAGATGAATTAGAATAAATTAGGCTTACAAGATGAAGATATATCAGGATTAACTTCCAACGATCTTCATCCACATCATTCAGGTATGCAACAAACATAACTGTAGCATCATAAATCATACCTAAATTAGATTGGACATTAATAAAATAGCCATCATCATAATATTCCTTAATAGCAATTCAATAATAATAATAATTCTAACCTATTACCTTAGTCTGTAAATCATTAAAATGGGTAATAACATAATTTTATATAATAATAACAACAGTAACAGCAATTACATTAGTAATAATAATAAATGAGATACAATTTATGCAACAATTAGAACGGATACTAGCAAGCAGCTTAGATTAATCATCTTTAATAGCACTCATCACCTAAATAGCAATCAATTTAATAGCATTAAATAGGACTAGTATAATCTGTTCCGCAATTAGATTTAAAATAAGTAACAGGATTGGTTTAAATGGAAGAAGAATCCAACCAAGTAAAGTAGCCAGTACAAACAAATTCTTTTTAAGCTCCTACAAATTAGATATAGAGAACATCCATTTAAAATTTAAATCATAGCTCTCCTACCAATTCTAATAATTTACAGATTAACAACAGTTAGAGTGCAGTGTAGCCTAATTTTAATAGTATAATGCAAGCTAGAAATACTGAAAATAATGATGAAATTATAGAATAGGAGTAAGTAAATAAGGAGGTAAAAGAAGAGTTTATACCTGTAAAGAAAGGAAGAGGAAGACCAAGAAAAATAATAACAGAGGATTCAAAAATAGCTGTATAAACAAAAGCAAAAACATTAACACTTTCAAATGAAAGCACAACTGGGCAAATTAACACTGCAGTAAATTCTGTACATATAACAGGAAGCAGTACTGAAAAAAGATAGACAAGAAGTGCAAATCGTATAGGAAGCAGCTGCTCAGTTTAGATTGGAAGCACTGTAAAAGATTCAGTATAGCTTACAACTTGCAGTAAAGCAAAGACTGATATTGAAAGTTCATCTGCAATCACAAGAGGAAACGGATTAGGAGAAAAGGGAACTGAAATTCCTGAAGAGTTAGATTCTGATCAATACATCCCAACAGAAGAAGAGATGATTTAGGAATAAAGAAGATATGAAGCTCTCTAACGTAAAAAATATAAAGAGGAGTTGAAGAAAAAATCTCAAGAATAATATTCTGATGATGAAGATAGCGAAGATAGTGCAATAGATGAAAAGAATTTTGTTCCTAATTCTGCATTCTTGAAGCAATATCGTCAGCGTTTGATTGGTCGCTCTTCAAACTCAAAGATTTTTGAGTTAAAAGATTCTTCAACTGATGAAAATATAGGTTAGGTAGTGAAAATAGTGCCTCATAAAATGAGCAATCATCATCAGATTGAGTGCAGAGAGTTGAGAAATGAATTTAGATTCCTCAAGAAAATGGATCATCCAAGAATTATTAGTCTGAGTAACAATTCTGAGTTTATCCGTGATAGAAATTATTGTGGCCTTCTTCTACCTCAAGCAGAGTGCAATTTGATGTAATTTGCCAAGACATAGCGTCATGGTAAGGTATCTTTAGCTTAAATGCGTATTGCTTTTAGGTAAATTGCAGAAGCTATTCACTATTTGCATGAAAATTATATTTCTCACAACGACATTAAACCTGACAATATGTTTGTTTTCAGTGAGAATGATTACAAGCTTGCTGATTTTGGTTTTGCAATTGACCTCCCAAAGCCAAATTCCTTCAAAAGAAATTCTCGTTTCTCATAAACTCTAAGAAAGCAAGTAAAGATTGAAGACCTTAAGAAGAACTGGAAATAAAGATGCAAGCAATATGTAGCTCCTGAATTAATCAAGCTTCTTAATGGAAAGCGCCCAAGAACTCCTTCTGATGAGAAAGCTTGTGATGTCTTTGCTCTAGGTGTATCGTTTTTCATCATTATATTTTACCAGCTTCCTTTTTGTGGTTCTGCTCTTAAAACAGATTAACGTTACAAGCACTTCTTCAAAGGATAAAATGAAAAATTCTGGTCATAATTTAAATCCATGCTAACAAAATTTTAACAACAGGAAAATTCTTATCCAGAAGAGTTAAAAGATCTGTTTAATAAAGTATTAGAACCAGAGCCAACAAAGCGCTTGACAATTGAATAAGTACTTGAACATCCTTGGTTGAATCATTGAAGAATTAAAAAAAATTTTTATAGAAACTTCATAAATATTTTATAAACTAAAAATATTCATTTTAAATGAATTCAAAAGATTAAACTCATTCATTCATTCAATAATTGATAGAGAATATATATAAATAGTCTTTCAAATAAAAATTGCATTTATAAAACCAACTGCAAACAAACCTTCTACCAACACTAATTGCAAACAAAAATACTTACCTAATTCACTTTAATTTTGAAATAAATAAACTAAAAATAAAATTTACGTAATAAACTCATACATAAATACATACATACATACAATTTCGAAATATTTGTTATCTGTATATTATATATATAATTAGTTAGTTCCCCATTTATGTTTTAAAATAGTTATATTAAGAATCTTTTTTTAAAGCTATAATTTCAACAAATTTTCAATTTTAGTATTATACAGAATAATTCTTTAATTAATCAGTATCAGTCAATCAATCAATATCATTTTTACTTTGGTATCTCGAAAAATCCCAAAAATAAATTAATAAATGTAAATTGTAAAATCAGGATATCATCCTTAAAATATATTTTAGATTTAATAACTTTCTATTTGAGATCTATTTGGGATGATTTAACAATGTCCAAAATTTGTAAACATAAATGTTGATTATTATCCAGTAATCATGATTATATTATAGAAATTGTTTTTTAATGACCCTTTTTAATGGCCTCATGCCTAAAAATTTATTTAACATGCAAACTAACAAATTGAATTAGCGAAAACCATAAATTAATTATAAACTTAATTTTGAAAAATGATAGATACGATTTAGAAAAAAAGATAAATTCTTCGATCAATAAAATTATCAATTTAATCATTTTGTGGAAATTCTAAGAATTTCTTTTAGAATTTAGAATAATCAGACAATTATAAATTTGAAAATTTATAGCCAGCATAAATAAATAAATTTACAATATCTATCCTCAAAATAAATTTGTTCACAATTCTCTCCCCGCTTTTTGAAAGGCTATTGTTGCGCTGTGAGTTTTTATAAAGCTTGATTTTATTTTTAACTATCTCTTCATTTAAGAGCTAAAAAAGATAAATTTTGTAAAAAAAACAATCAAGTAGTAGTTAAGGAATAAATGCATGCAAAAATATTTTTTATTTGTTAATTTATTAGCATGGAATGAAAAAGATTAAATTTATATAATAGTAATAAATACTTGATATCAAAATACAAAATTTAATTATACATTTTAATAAATTAGATAGAATTTTAAAATATTGAGAAGAGTAAAATATAAATATGATTTCACAGCTATTTATTTAAATATATATATATATATATATTATAAGAGATAGATTTTGCTTATCTCTGAATTAGTTATTGAATTTTCCAGAGATAATATAGTATCATTTGATGAGTATAAAAGTAATATTTAGATTTAATTATTATGGTTGGTGGTATTTTTATTTAGTATTATGATTATTATTATTATTAACTAGGTTTGATTGTATGTATGTCAGCCTATAAAAATCATATGTATATTTTTGCTATTATTTTGTTAAATATTTAAAGTACTTATAAATATGGTTAATATTTTGGAAGATACTAATTTAATTAAGTTAGTTATTTGTTTTTTTATTTAGTTAGTTATTAGTTAAATTAGGATGCTCTATTTAGAGGGTTTTATTTTAAAAGATTTAGCAAGTTTAGTTTCAATCATTAGCATTTTACTTTTTTAGAGCTTTAACGATTACGTGTTCTCAATGAATGGATTTCATCTATTCTAGAAGGGTCTTAAGTTGCTTTAATGTAATCACGAAGGACATCTTTATGAGCCTTTTTATTGTTGACTTGACTTTTATCTAACCATTCCCAAGCTTCCTCATTAACGAAGTAGTTGAATACAGGCTTGAAAGGTTGGTTTAAAATTAAGGCTTTAATGAAAGTGTTGTTAAATTTGTGCATAGACTCAAATTTCTTGTACTCAAGTCTGAAATTTTATAGCTCTTCGCGTGTAGTTACTCCCAAGGCTTGCATGATTCTTGTTTCGTCACCCCAGTTGTTAACAAAGTTTCTGAAAGCTTTAACAAAGTTCTTTACAACATTTTTCTTTGGTTAGACTGGAGCATTTGGATTAAGAGAGCTATTGTATTCTTCATTATGGAGTTAATTATGATAATTCTTGTGCTAAGATAGACTATGTTGTTATGTAGAAGCTTTAGAATGAGATTACCAGCTATTTTATTCGTAATTGTCTTCATCTTCTTCTTCGTCAACTTCATCACTTATATAACAACGTTTATTAGATATTTTTTATGGTGTAGAGGCTTTTTTAACATAATCTTCGTCATCACAACTGGTAGAGGCTTGTGATTTATTAGATTTTGTTGAGGATTTTTTGGAGGTAGATAAGAATCTTTTTTCTTCATTTTCATCATCTTATTGTTCGTTTTCATATTATTATGATACTTAAAGTCTCTTGCTCTTCTTGCAAGTTTTCTTTTCTGACTCGTTAGTATTTATACTGCTTAACTTTGGGGTCTTCTTCAATGAGCCCTTCTTAGCACTAGAACTTTAATTACTGTTTTTTACTTTTTTAGCAGATGAGAGCTCGTTATCACTGTTGTAATCATGTCTGTTATTATTTATTTAAATAGTTAAAGAAGAGCTTAATATATCATCTTCTTCGTCATCTGCAGATTCATCTACTGAGCTTTTTTGAGAATCACATTATGAAGTTGCCTCAGATTATTAGTTGGCAATCAAAGATTTAGATATTTCTTTTTATTCGTTTTATACAAAGTCGCTCTTGATTTATTATTCCTATGGCAATACGCTTACATGATAAGCTTGTTATTATTAAATTTATACTATTGATAAAGGAGATTCAAGATTTCCATACACAGAAAATCCTTGGTCAGTTTAAGTGATCATAAATTTAAAAGTGAAATTTTCGTTTTTTAAAGTAATGTCTGTTGAATTAGGATAGTAAGCAGTGTAATTGTTATCTGTCTTTTCCTCAGTTTTGGGATTTTCAGTAGAATTGGATGGGGTGAATTATACGTACAATCCGCTTTTTTTATAGAGGAATCCATTTAGAATTCTGCGGTTGTAGACGTAGTTTTTGTTAGCTTGAGGAGCAGAGCAAAGGGTTGTATTGCAATCATCAAGATCAATGAAAGTATCCTCTACCCTTAACAAAAGGTGAGTTTCTAAAACACCTTGAATCTCAGATACCTTATGAAGATAGAAATCTGTAATTAATCTGAGATTCTCAACAGAATTTTATGTAGTTGAAATATTATATGAATTCTCCTCCTTACCTTCTTATAAAGATGAAGAAGTAGTAGAAGAAGATAAATTACATTTGTTGGATTAATTCATAAAAGAAATACATTCAAAACATTAACATTTTTTCAAATTTTAACCTTAACTAAAATAATTCATACAACCACCTCTTTTTCTTTCCTCCAATAAATTTTTATGGTTACCCTAACTTTCTTCTCCATCTTTCTGAGTTGGAGATCCTACCGAAAGAAGTTATTTTTATGAGCTGATCACCCACTAAAATCCTTTAATTCCTTTGCCTCCAAAACCATTAGAATCTTTCTTCTACCCCTCACCTACTCCCAATTGCTATTGGTGGAGACATTATTTTCCTGATTGATCTTATCTAAATCCTCCTATCAATTTATTTGATCCCACCTCAACTAAATTATCTGTGTTGTTAGTCTAATCATAGATATTTCTACAAATACGCACCCTGCGTTTCCCACATGTAAACACGTAATTAATTGAATAAGAAACACCTTGTTGTTACTTCATGTTGATTCCCTTACTTTTTTTGATTTTTTTGATGTGGATTCTAATAGAAGTCTCAAAAAATTTGTTTGTTTGCTCTAAGAATTGTATGTAAATTCAAGAATGTAATTAATTAATTAACAAATAATAAGTAGTGAAATTAATTCTTTTAGAGTTAGTTGGAAATGAAAAATGAAAAGTTTGGAGAGAATCGCTTCAGATATCTATGTCTTCGTTTGATTCTATTGCTTTACTTGGCAATTGTTAAACAATATTTCAATAAATTTGGTAACTAAATTTGTTTTCTTTTATGATAGTTGAAGAAGGAAAACTTCTGTTTTGCTTCTTATTGTTTTATTTTGATTTTTTTGATTTTTTTTTTTTTTTCGTTTAATTTAATTATTATATTTCTGCAATCTCCCCTATCTCCTTGACTTTTATTTTTAAAGTCAATTGATGTATTATTTAAATAGGTAAAAGGTGATGCAAATAAATCATCCAAACACTGAAATTAATTGTAAAAAAGAAATATTCCCCACTTTATTATTGTTTTTTTTTTTCTTTTTCCTTTTCAAATTCAATTAAATTTATCAGATTATTATCTTTTTTTGATCGATTGAAAGGTGAATAATTGAAATAGTAAATTTTGTCGGGTGAGTATATTTTTATTCCTTTGCATTTAATTATTAACTCTTCGATAAATAAGTTGTTAACATTAATCTAATTGAATTATAAAGCATTATAAAAAAGAATCATCCTCTATTTTTCTCTCATGTTCCTTCTCTAACTATTTTTTTTTTGTTTCCCTTATTTTATAATTTGCATAATATAATCAATTTGTTTATGATTCTCCCCAGCTTTTTTCCACTTCTTAGCTCATATATTGAAGGCAAGATAAACGATTTAGTTTAGTCATTTTTTTGACTCAAACCTCAAACTGGAGTTATCATGATAAATATTGTTTTCTGAACTAAAAATAATAAACAAATACATAGGCTCACTTTATGTATACACTATATATTTTAAATATAAAAATTATAACTAATCTAATAAATAATCTCAATATAATATTTTTATATACTCCTTAAGAAAAAACCTCTTCCTGACAATAAATCGAATAATTAACTGTGTATATAATTCTTTCCAAATATTGGTAGATCTCTAGAATATAATTAATAAGTGTAGAATTATAAAATAAATTTTTTTGCCAGCAGTAAAAAGATACTGATCTTATTAATCAACTACTAGCCTCCTGCCTAAGTGGCCTATATATTATAAGCAAAAATATCATGGAATAATTAGGTGCTATAAAATTAAATAAGCTTATTACTCTTTAGTTTTTAAATTCTTTTAAAATAGAAAAAAATAAATGAAAAATAATATTTTAAACAATAGACTATTTATATTCAAAATTTAGAATGCATTTTTATTTATTTTTATTAGGATGAATCCCCCTTAATTCAAGTAAAATAATCATCAAATTAAAAAAATATTGGAGATAGGATCAAAAAAGCACTTTTTCCTCTCAGTTGGACATTTGTATCAAAAAAATAATTTAAATAGCTATGATTTTTAACTAAATTTTTGTAAAGTCACTTACAAAAATTTACAGTCATCATCTTAGTGACATGTTAACTGTTGAATTATTTTCATAATCAAATCGTGATAAAGGATAATTTTTAAATTTTTTTTTCTTATTTTCTTGTTTTACAGATTAATTCCTTTTTTTTTGCTTTCGTCAAGCTATTTTCGCTGATTACTTTTGATTTTTAATTGTTAACTTTTTTAACACTAACTAGGGAAAAACAAAAAATTAATGCCTATTTCAATTCAAAGTAAAGTTTAATAAGGTTGATTAACATTTCTTATTTATTTATTTTCTTTTAAGTTGTATATATCCATCTCTTAAATCACTTCTTTTTTTATTATTTTAATCGTTCAATTTTTTTATTTATTTTATATTATCGCCATGATAACTCATGTAAATTCTTTCTTGAATAAGCAAATAAAAATTACAAAAACTAACATAACCCATTAAAATCCTTTAGGTGAATGCTATCTCCTAAAAATGGAGCAATAATTTACATGACAAAAAATAAATAAATACTGGAAGTTAATAATAAAATGAAGTACAAAATATGTTAATGATCAATCGTCTTTTTTCTTTATCGTTTTCTTCTTTAATTCGTTTTCTACTTATATTATTCTATTATTGATATCTTCTATTTTAATGCCTACTAGCTACCAATTCTGCTCTAAACCTCCCAGCTCCTTTATTTGATTTAAATTATTTGTAAATAAATAAAAAAATAAATGAAATTAGTTTATCTATCTTCTGTTATTTTTTTGTTTTTCCCCACCTTCTCTCTTACAAGATTATAGGCAAGATTTCATTTAATTATTGTCATTAAAATTTGATTAATTAATAATTTTAAAATTCAAACAAAATGAATCGGATAAAGTCTTTTTCTATTGAGCCAAATATTAAATTCATAAAATATGGGTTAAAAATATAAATTCATAAAATTTTTATGTAAAATTCTGTCAAAAGTAATAAGAAAATAAACAATATAGAGTGGCTTAAAGGCTCTTAGTAGTTTGGTTGATAATTTTATGTGAAATTAGAGGAAAATTATCGAATACAATCCAAAATTTTAATTAATAATACTTTATCCTTTAATTAGTTAAAATCCCTTTTAAAAGATATGGGGTTGAATTGCAGATTATAAAATTTCTGAAATATTTTGCTAGAAAGACAATAATTTTATTACCTTCTTTTTTTTAAGCTAGATCTATTATTCTATATTTTCAAAGTTTATGTCATCTCCTTCTTGTCTTTTGTTGTCTTCTTCTTCGTCCTATCTTATGGGAAACCATGAAATGTCATGATTTTAACGTCTTTGGTTCACAAAAGATTCAAAACCAGATAAATCTGTTTCCTTCTTAGAGTCTAAGTATTGCATGAAATTGATATAATTCCACTTCGAATGCTCCAACTCTATATGGTCTCTGAAGCTCTAACCTTTTTTATTTTTTCTTTTCTCTAACTCAGAAACGCTTTACCCACATATAAAGCAAACTGTATTTATGTCCTCTTGTCTTGCTTAAGTCTCCTCTCTCAACTAGGCAAACTAATCAATGATTGTACCTAAAAATTCAAAATAGTAATTAATAATAAAAGAAAATTCTAGGAAGATGAAAATATTATAGAGTTTATCTATTTAAGCATACGTCCTCAGCTTTTGTTAATTATAAAAAGAGAAGATAACAAGAATAACTAGAGAACATGACCCATCAAATTAAATTTCCCACCCCTTAATATTATTATTTTTTTAAATCAGCCCAGCAAAACAATTGGGAATATATAAGATGAAGAGAGGGAAAGATTTTTTTGCAAATTGATAGTACATTCATTTTTCCTTTCAAATGAGGAAAATCTTAAAATTAAAAAGATACCTTGAAATTTATTGACCTTTTTCAATTAAAATCTAAAAAAGAGCAAAATAAAGTTCTCCAAAAAATTGATTTTCAAATAAAAATGAAATAATTATTGTAAAAAAAGGAAAAATAAGACTTATTTTTTTAACAAATTCAAAAATGTTTTACTTTATTTCATTTTATTTTCATGTTCTATAGCAAAATATAATTTTTTTAATGAAAATATGATCAATTAAACTCATTATTTTATGAATCAATCAGTAATATTTTTAAAATGACAAAATTCTAATTGAATTGTTACCTGAAAGAATTTGAGTCACTAAAATATTTATAAAGAAGACATAAGCAAAATCAGCTATTATTCTTAAAGTAAATCCCCAATTATCAGTATAATCTGGAAAAATTACTCCCAAGAATCCACCCTCTGCAACAAAAGTTTGGACTAAAATAAACGTAAAGCACTTCCATATAGATACACAATAAGGATCAAAATCTTGATAGAAATTATAGTAGTACAATAATGAGAAAAAGTAAGTAGACAAACAAAGTAAGGCTACAGTCAATAATATCTGCTTCCTTGGCTTGTAAATAGCTTGAAGAATATTTTTAAGTTCTGGATATCTTATACAAATAATTTAAAAAAATTGAAATATTTTATTGATTTTTGAAAGAAAAACTTACCTTGTAAATATATATAATAGTACCATCAAGGCGCAGGGTATAGGATTTATAATAGAAAGTATAGTAATCGTTAGTTGCAAGCACTAGTAAGAGAAAAAAGGGATAATCTAAGGATAACTGGAGTAAAGTCGATACTTTAACTCATAGTTGAGCTAAAAATATAGCTTATATTAAAAGTAAAATAGAAAGTTGTACCAAATACGTAAGATTTTCCCTTATATTTATTCATTTTCTTCATCTAATTTATCTTATTTATACTTAATTTCTCTTTGTTTTTGCTTTACTATTTTCTAGTTGTTAAATACATACTCACTGAATAAGAATTAATGGTTCTTATACCAATAAATAAAGAAAGCTAAAGCTTAAAAGATCACAGCAAAGATTGAGAAAATGTAAAAAACTATTATAAAGTCAGATTATTTAAATTAGACAAAAATCTTCACATAAGGTTCTTCATCAAATTAATATGAGTTTTATAAAAAACTGCCAATGTTTTAACCGTTCATAGTATGGTTTTCTTCAAGTACTAAAATGATACACAAATTAGAGATAATAGTCTAATAAAACAAAAAAAATATTAAAATAATTGAATTTAAATTAAAAATTTACAAAAATAAAAGACCAAAAGTTGAATGTCTCAAGTAAATCAACGTTTAGCTGTTCTTCATTTTTTTAGTTTTAAATTTCATCATCTTCATCATCATTTTTTTGATTTTTTTGTTTGTTTTTTAAGATGGTGTTTAAAAATTTAATCAGAAACTAGTTTTTAGGAATTATCATTAGCAATAAATTATTAAATTGGTATTCATATTTCATCTCTGAAATCAAGAGCTGAGATTTTTGTTACAAGTCTAATACTTTTGCCTTTGTACTTTACCTCTAAGCATCTAGTTCAAAACGTTTTACTAAAGCTTGGTTCAAACTATTAGCAATTGGAGGCTTTGGAAAATATACTTTAGAGAGTTAACCCTAATAGTTGATTTCCAATTCTATCAAATATTTTTGGAAGAATACTTAATCTGGACGCTTTTATAAATAAAAAAATAAATATATTTTATGATAGTAATAAAAGCAACTAAATAAATACAAAAAAAAATAAATAAATAATCGTTTATTTAAAACAAAAAATAAAAATAGTACTTTATTTAATTCGGTGTTTTCTTAATATAGATCAATATAATCTTGTTAAGGCTATTCGATTTCATATTTTTCTTAATTTCCTTAATTTGAATGTGCATTATCATGATGATTTATTTAAGGCTAATTTGAGTTAGGTTATTTATTCTTTAAAATTCCGTTATTTACTTATTCTTAATTATCATTATTTTCTACTTTAAGTGCATAATAACTTTGAGACTCATCTTCATCTTCATCATCAATTAAATCTTCATAATCTTAGTCTTCTAAATCCTCATCCTCATCATCTTCATCATTGGCATCCTATTTTTATTTAATTTATGTTTAAACATTCTAAAGGAAATCCATGTTAATATTATTTATTTACTTTCTTTTATCCTTCATTTTCTTCTTTATCATAGTTGGATTCGTCAGTCAAGTTATTATAATAATTTTTTAATATTAAACACTTAAATCCTATTTCTATTACTTTATCACAGTATTATCTCTATTTTACAAATATAAAATTTTAAGTAAGCTTAGATTGAAAGCATATTTTTGAATCTTACTAAATTAACATCTTTCTTATTGGTTTTATCACTCTGATTTTCATTCTCATTTTGTTTTACAATATCCTCAATTTCTACATCACCCCTTCCAAATAGTTCTTCAGTGTAAGGAATTTCTTTTTATTTTGCTATTTTGAATTTATTGAAAGTGCTTAGCATATTGAGATTTAACAACTTCATGTTAATACCCTTTTCAATTTTTTTAACAATTTTTTTAACCTTATTACCTATTTATTTTACATAAAAAAAAATAAATTAAATTTTGCTTTTTAAAAATAAAAATGTCAAACCTTCTAAAATACTTTCTATAGTTATTAGTGATTTATATTTTGCTTTTTGTATCATCCAATCTTCTTACTTATTGGCTTCACTAAATTTTTTCTAAATTAAATTTTTAAAATATTCTGATTTAACTTCCTGCTTAAGATAGTTGATTATCTTTAACTAAGTTTATTCCTTTAACTCGTTTTCATCATAAATATACTTTAAGCTCTATCTCTTATTATTATTTAACTGATTTAAAGAGCTATGTCTTTAACTATTCCTGATATCAGTACTTCTACGTCCTCTTCCCATTTTCTCTTTTTCCAAACCTAAATCTAATATGCCAGCAATAATTTCTATAATAGGAGACTCTGCAAGTTCAAGCTAATTTTACTTGCAAGGACCTTGAACAAACTCTGTCAAAGTTTCAAAAGCTTAGCACAAAACTTCAATGTTTTATTAATTTATATTAATCTACTTAAAATTATCTTTATTCGAGACCCTAATTTAGCTATCAATAACCTATATAACATCTTATATTAAATTATAATTATTGCGAGATTTCGTTTGATGTCTAATATAATTTTGTAAATTTGAATTATGATTTTCACAAACTAATTGCAGCAACTTTAATATTTCTAATATCCCAACGAACTATTTTTATAAATAAATAAATAATTAATTATCTAAAATATTTTAGATTTTTTTGTTTACTTTATCTTTTGAACGATAAACAAGATCAATATGGTCTAACTCATACTCTACTTAATCAAAAATGGTTGTTTTTTATGAATTTTTGTTTTAAATTTTTAATATTAAAAATTGATGTATAATTTCAAAAAATTTTTCGGAATTTTCTTCTTTTATAAAAAATGAGTAAAGCTGCTCTTAAACTATCAGATTTCCTCCATCTAACAATTAAATAAATAGCATGATGACAGAATTAAATATTTTTCTGCAGAGATGATTTTAAAAGTAGTCTACTTTGTTAGAGTCAGAGCACAGAGTTTCAAGAAGAATATAAGGAAGATTGAATTTTGCTAATAGGTTTTAATGTTTTTTCCTTGTAAAATCATTAGCATTTTTTCTACTCCTTGTATCTTATTTCTAATCTCCTATATCTTATATACCTAGAGTATCTTATTATATTTTTAAATTTTTAATGGTGTCTTCATCATCTTCATTAAAATTAATCTTATTCTTATTTTCTATATCTACTTCTTCATCCTCTTAGGAGTATAAGATAAAGTCATGCAAAAATCTATTTAGAAAATTATTTTTAAAAAAAAGGGATAAACGTTTATCATTCGTAAAATATAAATAATTGATAAAATTACCTCAAAATTTCAATTAAAATATTATGATCTTCTTTATTGTGTCCTTTCACAAATTCCTAGAAGCATTAAGGGATATATTGAATAATTTTTTATAGCAAAAATTCTAATGATAGAAAGTCAATATTTTCTGTGATATTTTAAATTGATTAGATACAGTAAATCAATTTTTTTCTTTCTTACACAATGTTATCTTTAATTTTTGGGTTGATTAAGATGTTAAGAAGGCACTTTCTTACAAATTGGTCATTATTATTTTTCTATTTTTATAATTTGATAATTTATTAAAATTAATTTAAAATTTAAAAGAATATTTACTGAAGATAATATATTTTATAGAGGTAAGTTGATGATATTTTCCACACTAGGATAATTAATTTGATTTTGATAGTTGAGAATAAGCCTTTCTTTAGGCTTAACCGCAAAAAATATTTGTTGAATTTCAATGTCTTCGTAACTCTTACCCAAATCTTTTTAATAACTCTTAATATATCTATTAAAATCTCCAGCAACTTCTTCGTCTATAACAACTTCTTTTTATATATCAACAGCAACTTTATCATTATTTTTGCAACTGTTGTAGCTTTACATAAGAAGAATGGCAACACTTTCTAAAAACCAATCTTTGAATTAAGTATATGGCTTGAATTATTCAAAGTCCTCCTTTTATATTCCTCCATAGCTAGATTACTCTACTGCTTGCTTGTATTCTTCAATTTACTTAAATAAAAAAGAAATCACTGGCCACACTTCATTGAACAAATGGTTTAAGTACTCTGATAGTTTAACCAATTTTTTTTCTTTGGCTTCATTTAAATAAGGATACTACTACACCAAAAGATTGACTAATTGATTGTAATCCTTTTATTTTTCCTCTTGCATTTTATCTACTTCGCCTTTATCTATAATATTTTCTCCTAAAATATTATCTATATCGAAATTGGATATATTGCTATTCTTTTCTCTTTTTTTAAACTTAAAAACAATTTAAAATCTATTATCATTGGTAATTAATTATTTTACATTGATGACTTTTTATTTAGATTCTTGGATGTTAAAATATCTGTAAAGAGCTTCAGAAACTTTAAAAAGCTCTATGTAAATGAACTAATTCATATTCTCCATTCTCTTAATCATATCTTAAATTTCTTTAAGACCTTCTTAGTTGCAATAAAAAATGTTAAATAGCTTGAAGCAATACCTCTTAATTTAAGTATAGCAATAAAACTATTTTTAATGTTTAAAAATATAAATTAATTTTACACTAAATAAAATATTGTTAATTTACTTATGGTAAATCCTGACTACAAAATATATCTCCTTTTTTAGTCATTTCCCTAAGAAGGTATTTTGCTGGTAATAAATTTTTGAGTTTTTACACAAAATATTTAGCACCTTGATCTGAATTTTCTAGCAATAGCAATATCAATTCTAAGACTTTAGAATGATAAACATAAGGTATGTTATTATTACCATATTATTCCACTGATAATTTGTCAAAACAAAATTAATATTCATCCTTTTATTTCATATCTTTGTAAAGTCTATTCTAATCTTAATTATTTCTAGATTAGTTTTTATTTACTACCTTTTCCATGAATAAGAAATCCTACAAATTAGCCAAATCTTATAAAGCTATAATAATTTTGTGTATATTTTGCTAAACAGGTACTTACTTAAAAATGCATATTTAGTAAAAAAAATCAACATATTTTGGTAAGTGTCCTTAACTTATTTTTTATTCCCTTTCCTCATATTGGTTTTAAGAATCCTCAAAGTGCATTATTTTCTTTAAAACAGCATTAATTGTTACATCATTAACTTCTGTAATTGCTTTGTAATTGTCTTTATAAATTTCTATGATTAAATCTGTTTGACCCAATTCTAAGTAATTAAGCATTTCCATGAAAAAATCTATCTGGTTGTAAAGCAATTTTTTATTCAGCTTATTTCCACCAATGCAAAAATATTTTAAAAATGTAAAACACTCTATGTAGATGACCTGCTATTCAACAGTGTTATCATATTCTTTAAAGGATTTGAAAATTTTGAGAGAATCTTTAATTAAAGTTATGACAGAATTATGAGCATCCAAATTTCTTATCATAAATTATCTGCTCATAATTATATTTTCAGGCTTTTTCTCTTTTTCTTCATAAATAAGATTCCCTTTTTTTGATATTTATTTAATTCTTATTTTAAAACAAAAATAATTTTAAGAAATTACCTTATTAATTTGTTATTAATTTTGGACAAAAAAACATATAATTTAAATCTTTTAACTTGCTAGACACATCTTTCATAGTTTCCTAGTTTTATTTTTTAGTAACTTCAATAAACCAAGTTTCACTTTTTTCACATTAAATGTTGAAATTTTTTATGCGTTCCTCTAAATCTTTTGCTATTTTTTCTTCATTTTTGTCAACTCTATCAATAATAATCTAACACTACTTTACTGATCTGATTAAATTTCTGCACTGAGAAAAGTTAAAAAACAAAATTTTTAAAATAGAGCAATTTAATTTGTAGTCTGAGGAGTTCAAAAAAGTGTTGAGGAGCTATTTCAAGTAATAAAAATAATAAGAAATAAATGTCTATCATACAATAAAAATTACCATCCAAATAAATTTCTATGAGCTTTTGACATCTTTTTGATATTCATTTTTTTCTAATTAAATATAATGAAATGGCTTTATTTTAAAAATTAATTGAAATTATTTTAATTACTATTATCATCATCTTTTTCTAAGAAGAAATCTAAGCTATGTATGGAAGGTTATTCCTCTTTTGATAGAACATATTCTTTCTATTCAGATCCAATTACCTTTCCAACTGCATCTTTTAGATTATTTGTTATACCACTAACAAGTCCTGAAGCGAATTTCGAGGTAACACCTAATAAATCGAAATCTTCTTTCTCCTTAAGTTAAAATGGCTCATCAGGTAAATTATTAGATGGCATCAAAATATCAATTTCATTTTCTAATTTTTCTTTAATTTTTCTCTCATCTGAATTTTCCATACTTAATAAAAATGATTAAGATTAAACAAATAGTAAATTGAAAATTTAAATAAGATTAATTACTCAGGCAGAATTTTAATTATAAAATCGATTATGCTTTTTAGATAATTCTCTCTTCTTAGATCAATATATTGTTTAAAAATCTGCATGATTGTCATTTTTGTCTAAATGTTGTATTTAATTTCTTCTTTAACTTTAGCATCTTTAGATTTCTCTTCATCAATTAACCTCTAATATAATTTTAAAATTAAGAGTCTTAGTTAAAATTAGTTTAGTTTAAATATAAATAAAAAATTATAGAAATTAATTTTTAGATTTCCTAATTTTTTAATTATTTAGAATGAAAGATATTTATTTTTAAAATTAAATTTAAATTACAATAAATTCATTTAAATTTTTAATTTAGGTGTAAAAGAGTAGCTAATCATCTTAAATTTTAGGTATTTTCTTGACTATTTTTTTAACTTTTTCAGATTTCTCAACTTAGACATTTTCTTAAATTGAATATTCACTGAGAACTTTACTTCTTCTCTCATGATTTTAGGAAGACTCTACATTATCATCTTAATTAATTTTATTTAGCTTTTTAAGACTAAATTAGCTTCTAAACAACCATATCAACGCTTCAAATATTTCTCTTTAATCCTCTTTATCTTTTATACTTTCAAAACTGTAAAGTTTTTATATTAAGCGAACGACTTTTACAATCAAATTTGCTCTTCTATTTTATTTTCCATTTAAATTTTTCAAAAAATCTTTAACATTACTAATTAGCCATTTTTCATCATCTTTGAGTTAATCAACTGACATTTTTTCTTAAGATTGCTAACTGATGCTTCTTTATAATGAGCTTTGACGTTTTTATTAGAAAGAATTACTAAAAGATATATCTATGTTATACTAATTTTCATTTTGCTAATTTATATTCAAAAGTGGTTCTGGAGAATTATTTGCACTTTAAACCTAATCAAAGCTCTATCCTCCATTTTCTAAGTTTAATTTATTGATTACTTCTTTTTCAAGTGATTACTAATTAGAAAAACCAATATTATCTTGCTATGCTAAATGGCTACGTTCTTTAAAATTATCGTAGCTCCTGTGTTGGAAATTATAAATATGATAAGTGTGAATTAGCTTAGGTACTTTTCTTTCAATATAAGGTTATTTATCTAGATACGTGCAGTAAATAATTGAATATAAGGATGAAGAAAAGTCATCTAAAACATCATTATCTCCTTAACCGTTTTTAATTTTATTCTCGAACATTTATATATAGTGTTTTAGAGCTATTTATAGAATAAATCTAAATAAATAAATGAAGTAAAAGGATTGATAAAAAATTAAAATAATAAGCATTTATTTAAATAAATAAATAAATAAATACCATTGAAGCTTATAATTTCTTTAATTTTGTTGATACACTCATAATTTCTTCCATAACAAAGATTGGCATATAATTTCAATTATATTTATAAAAATTTTCTGTATTTTTTGTTATTGTCTTTTTCAATTAGGTATTCTTCAAATTCTTAGTCACGTCCATTTATTTTGAAAGTAAGTTAATTATGAATTGTTGATCTAATTGGGTATAATTCTTATCTATTTTTTATGAATTAAATGTATATTGTTTATTTGCATTTGGTTTTTAAAACATTACTTATATGACTCAGAACCTTGCATCTAATCAAAAGTTCCTTTGATGATAATTTTAGCAACTTCTGTCTAGTTGTAAGTTAGGCCAATAGAATTATACTTGATAATACTATTGAAGTAGTGCAAAATTTCTTATTTTTCCAGCCACATTTTATCATACTTTTGCTAATCTAAGCTTTATTGAGCTTCTTTGAATCTTCTTAAAAAGTGCTAAGATAAAGTAAAGCTTTGTTCCCTGGTATAAGGAGATAAGTCCATAGCAGAATTATTGCTTTAATTTTAGTAAAACTGATTTTTTGAGCTTGAAATTAAGTCATCTATTATTCTGTTAAATTCTACATATTATTTTTATCCTTCCTACTCATCTCCTAAAAAGCATCTACTTTTCACTAATGGTTAATCAACTGATTGAAGCAGCTTTATATTATCAGCCAGAATATATCTGATACACTTTTCTGCTTCAACATTTAAACCAATATGCTCAACCATTAAGGGGAAGTATTTAGCACACTCTAATTAATTATCTGGGTTATTGAAAGATGCTTTGATCAAAAACTAATAAATAAGTATAAGAGTTTCTTATACTTCTTCTATATTATTTTCTACCTAATCAATTTTATTTTCCACTTATTCATTTTTATTTTCCACCTATTCAATTTTATTTTTTGTTAAAATCTTGTTTTTAACATAAAACGTTTTATCAATTTCTTTAATAATTCGAGCACAGTCAGTAATTAAATCATACTATTTTAATAATTTTTAACGCTTCCCATTAACTAAACCTATTTCTAATGAAAGGACGTCTAACTACATATCTTACATCCTTTCGTTTTCATCGTAACAAAATTCATGCAGCATCTTTAAACACAAATTTAAGTTTTTTATTTTTTGTCTAAATTTATCAAATTACTTATCAGAAGTATTAGATTTCTGATGAATAATAAAAGACTTTAAATTTTTTAGATCTTTTGTTCTTTTTCTAATTACAGGTATGCACGATAGCATAAAAGTAGTTTCCCATATCTCCTAATGTTGAGATTTGTAAAGCTTGAATACCTCTCTTTTTTCAACTGATGGCTTCATTTTCTTTTTTACATTAGTTTTTTTAATTCTATAAACAAAAATTATTAATTTACTATGGTAAAATATTTCTATCTCAACAGTTACTCAAAACCTGAGTCATCACCTTATTCTATTTCTTTTTTAATGTACTCTGTAAAATATTGCTAAGTCTTAAAATGTTTTATTCTAAAAAAATCTTCATATTTAAGCGGACTAATGTTATTTCCCTCTGTTTAAACCTATTGATTACTTACCTTTTCAAAAGTAAACAGAGTATCCTCATCAGTGTATTAAAAAGAAACTGTACCACTTTCACTTTGGCTTTAGTCAATCAAAAAAATATCTCTACCACTTTGCTCGTAAACAGAAGGCTAAATAACATGAGAAACCTGCAAGAAAAAAATAATTTTAAATTTATATTTATACTCAAGAAAAAAATAATTTAAAATATTTCTTTATTATAATTATCAAATTACAAGATATATCAAAAACTGCGGATAAAGCTCCTCCTTTTTATCAAGATAATCAATATTTTTAGTTCTTTCTAAGAACTCTCTCTTCAATTCTTGAGATTTAATTTATTCTTTTGATTTAACCATTAAATACATGTTAGTTTTTATGTTTTTTAATCTGAATAAATCTCCTTCATAAATAAAACCTCCAGTATTCATTTCCTTGCCTTCAATTTTCCATAAAGCTTTTTTTTAAAAAAAATAAGATAAATTTATTTTTACTTTTATATTCATGATAAGCATATTTATTTATTTTACACAAAGAAGAATTGTAATCAAAGTTGTTGGATTCCTAAAAAAAGAGTATGGCATTGTTATGCCTATCTCTTTGTACTTTTAAATCATCTTTTAACTTTTAAATATGTATAAGCTATGTTTTTTCTGCTATGATTTTTGGTTATCTCTAAGGCTCTGATTATTTTGTTGTTACTAAGCATTGTAAGAATGTACTATTTTCATAGCTATTTATGCAAAAAATATCTCCAAAGAATATCTAATTAGTATTCTACTCGAGTTCACTAAAATACTTTAACCTAAATTTATAAAATGTTAGTTTATATTAAAAAGTATGATGGTTATATTTACTTAAAATAGCATTTTTTATCATAACCAACATAGAACTAATATTTTTGATCATCGCCTTATTAATCGTTATAAACACTGCTTATTTCAGAGTATGATTGATTATTTAAAGATTTTGTAAAATCTTGGCTCTAGTTCATATCTACTTGCGATTTTAATATCATAGGTTTATTAAAAGATACTTTATCTTTTTTTTTAACATAATATACAAATGCTTCCCTGTCTGGACAACAACAAAAGTGTATTAAATCTTCAAACTTTACAACTTTGGAAGAATCAGACTAATGCTTGAAGGCAGCTCCTACTTTAAAAAGTGTTTTTTCGTTTGAAATCTCAGACAATCGAAGAGTATAATTATTTTATAGTTCTCCACCTTAGCTGTCTTGGTTTATAGATAAAAATTTTCTTGACCTAAAAATAAAAAAAATAATTTTCATATATTTAGTTTATATACTACTGCATTTGTAATGTCTTATATTTACTTAAAGTGAAGCAGTTGAAACTCTTCTCCATACGATATAGCTTTTCCTTTATTTTTTTAGAATATCATATCATTTGTTTCCAATTCTCTGACGAGTAAATCGAAATTTTTTTAATTAATTTAGGAATAGTCATCTTAAATATTTTATTTGTTCATAGAAGTCAACATTTTTGTTTCATATTTTGGTGTAATTAAAAACAAACATCCATAAAAGTCAGTCTTTTTGATAAAAAAATTCATCAAATATGATAAAATATAAATCAAATATATATGTATTTCTACTTCTCCGTATGTGAATGATTCTGCTCTAATATTATTTTTGATAAAACCATCAGAATATAAAAACATTCCTTAATTCTCTGGAATAATTATAGAGACTAATGCACCATAATGTAATAATTTTTTATTCGATCTCATATTTTATATTTATAAACTATTTAACACAATAAATAAGAAGCCCGATAAATTTATTAGAGTAGTTTTTAAAATGTTTATAAGCGATTTTCTACTTGATTTTATATCTTAGATTTTCACAAATTGAGATATCCGCAAAAATTTTAAACAAATAAATCAAAATTCAAATTATTATTTTAAATTAATCCAAAAGATCTTTTGCGAATAATAAAGTATTTAAATTAAAATTAATCAATCATAAATTCAAAAAAAAAAATGTAATTTTTGATAATTAAATGTTTATTTGATAATAAATTTAATTTTTATAATTCTAATAACAAATAAGATTTTTACTTATTAAAAAAACCAAAAAGATATTCAAAAATAGTTTTTTTTAAAGTAGAAATTATCTAAATTAAAATTTGATAATTTTTAATATAAAAAATTTGCTGTTAGCTCTAAGAAATTTCTTTATTTTAAATAAAATATTTTTTTTATTTTATTTCTACTTTTTTGATATAAAAAAGAACTCATTTAAAACTAAATTGAGAAAGTTAAGCTCATTAATTAAAAAAAAAAAAGTAAATTGCTATTCAAACTGAATTCACTATTTTAAATTTGTAATTCAGAGTTAAAAATATATTTTTTAAGATTTAATTAAAAACATTTTAAATTTTATTTAATATAGAAATTTTAATATAATTTTTAACCATAATTGATTAAAAGATATTTAAGATTCATATTTATTTTTAGTTAAATTTGTTTAGTTAAATTGTTTAAATTATAATGCATAATTAATTAAAATAAAACGATATAGAATGGATTAAAGTATTAACTAGTAAAACTGGGAATCTCTTCTTGTTTAAGAGCTTTTCAACAATGAAATCCTTGATTTTATAGATAATGGATTGAATACAAAACCTTAATAGCTTCTTTACCTACTTTTCAAGTTAATGTAGGGTTTAAAACTAAATAAATAACATCAAAATAGTAACTCATCAGAATCTAATTCTGGTTTCAAATTATTACATGTAGAAGATGAAAATGATGATTAAAAGCTAGAATATTTTTTGAAAAATACAATAACTACTTATGATTAGAATATTTAAACTATTGTAAATTGCTAAGAATTAGTTAAAGCAAAAGAGGAATAATATAAATATTTAGTTAGATTAGATGATTAAATAAAATAAAATTGTTTGAAGCTTGAATTTAGCTAACAGAGTTAGCTATATGATTTTCATTAATAATGTGTGAATGGCTAATGGAAAAATTACAATCTTATTTCATTTTATCTATTTATCTCTCTGGGAAAAAGTAAGATATGGCCCAGACTATTCAAAGATATAAAATCTGGTAAAAAAGTTGAGCGTCAATGGCAAATACATTAATTTTTCGATTAATTTAGGTAATTTTAAGATATTGTCATTTTTAAAGTTTAAAAGTTTGTAATTTAATTGTTAAACTATTAATTCTTAATAGAAATGACTTTAGTAGCATTGTTAAATAAGGCTTTAATTCATCTGTCATATCAAAGAAGCATCAAAAGGAAATTGACAAACAAACAATCATTCAAAAAAGCAATAACTCCTTTATATAAGCTGTTAGGGATAATCAATTTGAAAAAGTCTAGTAAATGCTAGTAGATGGTACAAACATAGAAGCAGTAACAAAAACAACTTTTTTCTAATCCCTAATTTACAATTTATTTTTTGGATAACTAAATAAAATAGATTGATACAGTAGAATAATTTACAGCAGCACATATTGCTTGTGATGTGGGTAATATGGAAATGATAAGATTACTTGATTCTTACAATTGTAATTGGGAAGCCCTAGACCATGAATAAATGACACCGTTATATTATGCTATAAGAGGAGAAAATTTACCTACTGTCAAATTTTTAGTTGAAGAAAAAAAGGTTAATATAGAACATAAAGAATTCATGCATAGAACTCCTTTTTACTGGGCTTGCTGCCTAGGAAAGTAATTATTCAAACAAAAAATTAAATTACATAGACACTTTAATTAAGTCTAGACGCTATTAACAAACCTTAAATCAAATTATTTTAAAAGCCTTAGGATCATAAGATTTTTAACAGAAGCAGGAGCAGACATCAATGCAAAGACTAAACTAATGAGAACAGCACTTAATAAAGCTTGCTTTCTTGGAAGAGCAGATGTAGTTTCCTACCTCTTATCTCAGCCTTAAATAGATTTTGAATGGGGAGATACTAAAGGAAGAAATCCACTTCATAACGCTATTTTTGGTCCTCGAGGTGGCAGGGAAGGAAAAAAAGTAGTTCCAAAAGGACTTAATTTACAAGTCTAAATAATTAAAATATTTTTTGAATTTGCCTTAATTTGGTTTAATTCAAATAATAAAGTAAAAACTTTAAAAAAATAATTCTTTATTAATTAAATATAGGTGGGAACTTTTGGAAAGGATTGCCCTGAAGCTGCTCTTCTACTTTTAGAGAAAGGGGTAAATGTTGATGCTGAAGATGTTGATTAATCTACTCCTTTACATATAGCCTGTAGCTCTGAAGCATTGGAAAGTATTCCTCTTTTAATTGCATATGGCGCAGATGTAAATAAACAAAATAAGGTATTTTATAAAAATTAAATAAATTTTAGAAAATTTAAAACTTTAATAAATCTAAGTTTGGTGATACAGCCTTGCATTTTGCTTCTCGTTTCGGACATATTAAAACAGTTATTATGCTCATAGAATAGTTTAATGCTCTAGTTTTAGAAGACTGTAAAGGGTAATTAATAACATCAAAAACTAAAAATTTTTAATTTTAAATATTAAACAAACAGATTTACAGGATTAGACAACGCTCTTATTGGTAATCATCTTGACATTTATACATATTTAATTGAAAAAATAGCGAAAGAATTCATTTAAACGCCAGATTAAAAATATCGACATCTTAAGAATTTAATAAAGTAGCATGAGAATAAAACTCAAAAACTGTATCTTTAATTATTCCTAAATAATGTTGTAACTATTGATGATTATTAATACTTTTTTTCAAATGAAATTATTGAAATGCTTCCCTTGCTTAGGGATGTTGATATGTTTGATATGCTTTCTTAAAAATTCAAACCATTTTTTGTTGAAGAAGATTAAATTATAAATTTGCTGCTGATTGTAATTAAATCAAGGAAAATTGAGTTTTTTAACAAATTATTTGAAAGTTTTATAGATGTCTTTTAGAAATTTGAATTTAATGTAAACAATTTGATCATTCATTTTATTTATCTATTCATTCATTTTTTAATTTATTTATTTATTTTAATGCTAGAATGTAAATGAAATTTTACACAACATCCTAGAGTATAATGACAGAGAAATAGTTTAAATAGCATTTACTTTAAACTTAAATATCTTTGATTACAGGAATTAAAACTAAACAAATAATTCCTTTTTACATGATTTGGTACAAAGAAGAAAAACAGGTGTTATAATAAACTTTATTAAAGTGATAAATAATGTAAGAAAGATTTAAATAATTTCATAAAATTAATTTTATCTCTTTAATTTTTTTTAATTAGTTCAAATTATTCTTTTAATTACTAAAATAAAAATTTATTTTATTCTTCTAAACTTGGAAAGTATTTAAAAATTAATTAATTAATTATATTTTAAATTAAAGAAATATCCTTAGAGCTAATTGAAAAATAAATTTTTAATTGAGAAACAAGGAGATTTGGACTTTATGAAAAAATTTGTTTTAATGAAAAATGATGTTAATATGAATTGTATAGAATAAGCTGTTATTTTAAAGTTTTTTGACATTTATAATCTTTTGGAGTAATTTTGTGTCAAAAATCTTAACTTTGATAAACAGCTCGTTGAATTTTAAATTCCTGAGTATGATATCGTAGGAATCGAAGATTATTTAAAATCATTAAAAGATAAAGTTTCAGAAAATGTTTACATGCAGGAAAAATAACACTATTGCTATCTAATAGAACCTGAAATGAAATTTAATCTTAACAGACCTTTATTAGAATAAATTATTTAGGTAAATTAATGATATATAATGTTTAATAAAATAACTATATTAAAAATAGGAGGTAGATGAATCAAAAAAAGTAGAAATTTATGAGTTACACAATCAAAATGACTCTTAGTTCTATTAAGAAATAAATAGTATTTCTTTTGATAAAAAACCATTACATATAAAAAATAAAATGAATTCTTTACCTTCCATATTTGTAGATAAAGAAGAGTAACTTATAGAAAAAGTTATTCCAGATCTTTTATAGCATTAAATCATAGGTATAGATCTAGAATATTGGACAGATAATAAAGATTAGAAATTATCTTTCATATGCACTCTATAATTGTCTACTTTATCATCAAATTTTGTTATCGATATTCTTAATCTCAGTAAATCAGTATCTGTACATCTAAAGAGCATATTTGAATCTCCTAAATTTGTTAAAGTAAATTACTATTTTTATTTTTAAAAAATGATAATAATATCTATTATTTAATAATTGCTGAATAAAGTTAATCCCTTATCGAATTATTTATATTTTAAATAAATTATATTTTTTAATAGGTATTTCATGGTGGTGAAACAGATTTAAAACTACTAAAAAAAGATTTAAACTTTAATTTAGTAAATATATTTGATACTGCAAAAGCTTATCTTAAACAAAATAAAGGAGCTGGATCAGTTTCTTTAAGTTCTCTTAGTTAGTAGTATTTAAATTATAATGTTGATAAATAGTACTAAACTTCTGATTGGAGGATAAGACCTCTCCCAAAGCCGATGCTTAATTATGCAATGTATGATTCTTTTATAACTTTGATATTATTTTTTGTTATGAAATCTACAATATCCTAAGAAGATTTAAGCATAATAGCAATAAGTTGTAACAAAATGTGTATTAAATAGCTAGAAAAATCTTCGTTTGATTTTAATAAACTATTTTTAATTAAAGATAACTAAAATATATAATGAGTATTTAAACCTTTATAAATTTTAAGCATTTATGTATGTATTTGTAATAAAGTAAAATATTCCAATTAATTTATCAGAAATTACAAAGCTGATAACTATTTAATATGTTTTTGATAAAAAATTAATAAAATTTAACTTTTTATTAAAATCTAATTATTTATTTACTCTATCTTCATTTACAATAAATATCAAAAATCAAAAAAATTATTTCAAAGGTACTTCACAAAATATAGAATTATAATCTAGAGTAAATGGATAAGTAATAAAAAGATTAAAGCTTCATATATTTATCATATATTCATAATTTTCTTTTTATTTTAACAAATTAGTTTTATTTAAAGATATCTGATGTGTTTATTAAGTATTTAAACTTTAATAAATTTAAAGCATAAATATATGTTTTTGTAATAATGTAAAATATGGCAATTAAATTATCAGAGATTACAAAGTTTTTAACTATTTAAGATATTTTTGATAATAAATTTATAATTTAATTTATTATATGTTTATTACAATACAGATAATTTCATTATATTATTACAATGTTATAAACTATTTAAGATATTTCTGATATTAAATTGATAAAATTTTACTTTTTATTAAGATCCAGTTACTTACTATCTCTACATTTATAATAAATATCAAAAATTAAAAATTTTATTTATAAGCAATTACACAAATTATGGATTTATAATCTGAAGAAAATCTAGAGTAAATTGGAAAGTAATAAAATGATTCAAGCTTCTCATCTTAATCAGATATTTAAGATAATAAGTTAGATTAATATGAAGAGGAGCAGAAATAGAAATATTAACATCAATTTGAATAATTTGGATTGAAAGCCGAAATAGAGGCATGCTAACAAGATTCAAAAGAATATATTAATGATATATCAGCAATATATCTAACAGAATCTGAAAGAGAGATTTATATTCATACATTTAAAAAACATCTAGGCCATATACTCATAATGGTTTGCAGCAGAAATTAAATTACTGAAATACATTGGATAAGTGATGAACTTTTGAATAAAAAAATTGACAAGCTTTCTGATTAGAATCAATAAGAAAATGACTAAATTGTTACTAGATATATCCATAAAAATAGATAATTAGCATGTCTCTTAAGAAGGGTAAATGATTAAATTTAAGCAATTATAGGATAAACTGATGGGAAAATTCTTTTTATAAATCCTCTAACTTCTTAATGCACTTTAGAATTATAGTTTGGTGATAATATTGTAGATTTATTACTAGAAAAGCATTATGTAAGACTTTAAAAATTACTTTTAATGTTTAGAATATTTTTTTTAATAAAAAGCTTATTTTCATAACTAAATCTAAATACATTTCAGTTGTAGATATTTAAACAAAATAAATAGTTGCTACTTCAGAATAAATGTAGATAAATAGCTCTTAAAACTGCCTAGAAATAATAGAAAGAAACGATAGAGGTATTAAATTTGCAAGTGGTAATAAAGGAAGTGCAGTATAGATATGGAGTCTTTTGTTACAAAATAATTATTCAAAATAAATAGAAAATGATTTATAAAATTAAAGTGTTTAAATGAAGTTTATGTATAAGTTAGATACTTTGTAAGTATGGAATCTTACAGTTGATTGTCTAAAATATTTTAAAAATACTAAATGTAAGTTTAAATTTTTAAATTTATTAATTCAAATAAATTATTTTATTATAAGAGAAGAATTGGATGACAATTGATTATGAATAAAGAAATTTTGATAGTTCTATTTTAGCTTGTGCAGGGAGCTTTTATGATGCTTCGATGAAATATATTGTTTAAATATTTAATTGGAAAACAAAACAATTATTGAGAATTATTTAAGATGGACATAAGGGATGGGTTAATTCTTTGAAATTTTTTAATGATTAAAGCGGGTATTTTATTGTTGGAAGTGCTGATAAAAACACTACGATTTATAGTGCTTTAAGTGGATAAATAGTTAAAAGGTTTATTGAATAAGACTTAGTCGTTATGCATGCTTTGAGGTTATTAAATTTAAATTCTGAATAATAGAAATAACTGAATTTATCAACAAATTCTGTGTGTATACTCGGAGTAAAAGATTAAGACAAGCTTTTTATTCGTTTAATTTTTTGAAGAAAATAAATGAGTGTGTTATTTATATTTTTTACAATTTATATTTATTTTTCTTTTTTTAAAATAGAATATTTTTTATTTTAAAACATTAAAAAAATTAAAGTATTTAAATTATTTTCATTGAATCTTATTTGAAATTAAAATTTATTTATTGCTTTTACACTTTTACCTAACAATTTTTTTGCTATTCTACTTTTATTTTATATTTTATAAACCCTAGAAAATAAAGATGGAAATTTAATAATTTATTTATTTATTTATTTTATAATATTTTTGGATAACTAAAACAAAAAGTAAAATAAATTTAAAATTTTTTGTATAATGATTAAAGGAATTATGTTTGTCATTAATTTTTGCTTTTATTCTTGTTGTGCTTTAATAAAATTTTATCAAGAGATTTCTTGGTACGCTTATATAATTTTTCATACAAGAAGAGAGGATCAAAGAAAGAAGAAGTGGATTCATCTTGATAATTATCCTTAATGTTTTTAATGAAACGTTCCTTGCTAGCTATGCAGAGGATGTTAATAAAGTGGATGATATTGGGACAGTTATCCTTAAGATTAGCAATTTGTGATAAAGAACTTAAAAGAGAAGTAAAAACGATTCTGCAACGAGGATTCTTTTGTAAAAATTCATTGCAAGCTTCTTAAATCTTAGCTTCATTTTCAGGTAACAAAACTGGAATAGCGATGATGATGTATTATTTTAAAGAAGCAAAGTCGATAGTTTCTCTTTTGTTTAAGAAAGTATCTAAATCTAAACCTTAAACATCTTCAGGTTAGGCTTCATCAAGGATAATGAGTTTTTCCCATAAATTCATAGCATTCTTTTAATACTCCTTAAATATTTAAGTAGCTCTCTTAAAGTCAAACTTATCAGTCATTATTTCAAAGTTACGGTTAATGTCTCTCTTCATTTCATCACTAGTAGGGAAAACCATACCTTTCTTAAAGCTTAAGTCTTCACTTGTGCTATAACCCTATTAAATTAGAAAAAGTAAAATTATAAATTAAGCTTTATAATTTCTGATGATTATTTTTTTCTAATTTCTTGAAAAACTCTTGCCAAATTTAAATAAGAATATATATCTTTATATTTATCTTGCTAAAAACTTAAGGCTTTTTAAATACAAGAAAGGATTTATTTCTTAATAGATATTTTTAACAAAAAAAAGTGTAAGTAAACTAATTTATTATTTATTACTTCTTTCTTTTAGCCTTAGTTAAGGATATTGTGTTCAAAGGATTCAACAACATCACCATCGAAAACTATTTACTTCTTGACGGTCTTCTTATAGATACCAATTTACTTAGCCTTAGTCTTCAAGTGTTGAACAATGAATTAAACTGAGACCATATTGTTTCTTGAACCAGGGACAATCATATCGGCATAGTTCATAGTAGGCTTGATATATTCATCAAAACTTCTCTTGACGAATCTATTATATTAATGTAAAACACCAGCAACATCTCTACCTCTTTCTTTGACATCTCTAACAATTCTTCTACATAATCTAATGTCATCTTTTATTTAATTAAAAATTATTATTATATCTACTTTGCTTATTTAAAATTATGAGGCAAATTAATTCTTATCTTTTTTATCAAACATATATCTTCAGCTTGACTTCTAAAGATATCAGAAGTTTCTTAAATCACTTTTAAACATTTAAGATATTTAAAATAGCTATCTAGATTTTTTTATTATGCCTGATGTTTTGATGTATATTTCAATAAATTTAAATTGTAAAATCCAATACATCATTATATGATTTAATTAATAATTTTCATTTTATTTCTGTCTGATTTTCAAAGTATTACTTTTATTTTTTTGTTTTTTTTTTTTAGATTAAGTGGTAGATATGCAAAATTGAGTAAAAACGACAAAGCTGTTGTTTTCAAATGCAGCTAATTATTTTAAATGAATTAAATATGTTTTATATTTTACCATCACAGTGCATGAAGATTTTATATTGCATAAGTTCACGAATACGAGCATCATAGAGTGAGAGAATACCTTCGAAAAGAATGACTTCAGTAGGTTCGACGATATCTTTTTCTTCTTCAGGAGAATGAGTGACGAAGTTATATCTTGGGATAGCAGCCTTTTCACCATTTAAAAGCTTAAGAAGAACTTCGTATGCTTAGTCGAAGTTCAAAGCATCAGGGTGATCAAAATTGTAATCTTTGGGATTAACTTTTGTCTTATCTAAACCTTTGTAGAAACAATCAAGTGGAACAATAAGAACGTTGAAGCAGCCATCGTAAGTCATTTCCTTACGAATGTTTGTGCATAAAGTAGTTTTACCAGCAGCAGAACCACCTGCAACACCAACTAAGATTCTCTTGATTTCTAATGAGTCCTTTCTTAATCTCTTGCTTTCCTATTCAGACATTGCTAAATAATATACTTTTCTGATGTAATTTTTTATTTTATTAAAGTTTTTATTTCTTTTTTTCAAAAGTTTTTTATTATTTGAACAAAACAATTAATTATACTTTTTTAGCCTCTCAAGTATTTATAGATGCAAACTAATAAAAAAAAATGTGTATTCATTTATTTAATCATTCATATCAGTAGAATTTAGATTTAAGCTCATTCTTTCATAATGTTAGTTATTCAGCTTAAGGTGGGGGTTAATAGAACATTTATTATAAACTGCTATTTCTAAAGATATAATGCCAATGACTTATCTTTATAAAATCATCATAATTATTTTACTTTTTCCATGATATATCTACCAACCAATGTTAAATGTTACTTAAAAGTATAAAATTTCTATCTATTTATTAATAACAAAATAATTTTTGTAAAACTCAAACACCCTTTTTTTACTGGAATATAAAAATTAAAGGCAGTTTTAAGTATTTTGGAAAATGTGTAACCAACTCTGTAGAAATAGATAGAATGTTTGTTATTACTAAAGTTTTTTTATATGTAAATGTTTACAAATATAACTCATTTATTAGAATTAAGGTATTTTAAAAACATATCAACTGATGCTTTCTGATAATTTTATTTAGAAATAACAAGCTGGTCCCTTGCTTTTTCTAAGTATTCATTTTGCAAAAGGAATTCGTTTTCTGCTTATTCTTTGAATTTTTTAATATTAGCTTGCAAATACTAATCAACTGGATTAACATCAGTTTGTTCCATTGTCTTTATATTTGTCCACACACTTTCACCAAACGCATTCCTCTACTCAATGAAATTGTCTGTTTTATTCCTTCCTTTCATGAATTTTGTTAACTTCTGTTCATATTGATCCCACCTTTTGTAATTATTAGAAATATGATAATGGGTACACATACTCAGCCATAATTTTTTTACCTTATTTTTTCCAAAATATTGAATTGGGTATTAGAAAACTTAGAACTTTGAAAATTTTGAGATGCTTCCAAATTTTGAATAAAATAAGGTAGAAGAAATAATTTGAGTTGGTGTATCAAATGACATATTTATATCATTTTAATTTAAAAATATTTTTTATATTAAAAAAGAGTAATCTATTTAATAACAATAATTTAAATTTATTTACTCAAATTACAAGCATAACTTTTTTAATACTAAAAATTATGTTGAAAATATATCACATAAATATTTATTTGTATTTTTTTATTAAATGAGATGTAAATAAATAGAAAGATATCAAGCTACTAAAATTCTGATTAATTTTTGTAAAATCGATATCTGACTGCTTATTATAAAATTTTAATCAAATTTTTTAATTACTTTTGTTTAAAACTTAACTAATTGTATGATAAAGTATTGTCTATGAATTTTATTTCATTTTCAAAAGCTAAATTAGTCATCAGTTACTCTCTGTACATGTTTGAAGTCATCAGCGATAATTCCTTTTAGCGCTTTAGAAATTAGGAAGCTTAAATTTTGGTTTTAATCTTCTTAACTAAATGTTTTAAGTAGTTTTTTTTAACTTTATATCTCATAGAAAAAAACTATTGCAAGAATATTATTTTTTATAATTCTGTTTTTGAAAATTTTAATGCCTTTAAATGATTAAGTTCGATTTAAGTAAATTTAAGAACTTTCTTCTTTTTGTGTATTTTTTATAAAAAATAGAATATTTTATATTTTGATATTAATAGTCTAGCTCTATGAATAATGTTTTTTTGATTTTGCTTTTTTTAGAAATACTTCAGCCACCAAAGTTGAATTTTTATGACAGCTCTTAGCTTTCTCTTAAAAATTTTCTACCTAATAAACCTCTAAATTTTAATACACATTTAAATGGTAAATTCTTTCATTTATATTTTATTGCATTTTTCTTTTTAGTAATGCTCCTCTAACTTATTAAAATACTCATCTTATGCATTAAGCAGATTATTAATGTTTATATTCATTTTAATGATAAATTTTGCATACAAATTAATAAATAAGCTATTTATAAAAAATTATAAAAACTCTTAAAAAATCAACAAAATTTAAATTATTCAAATCTTTAAAGAAATTTGAACAGTTTTGAAGGAAAACATTAACATTCATTAGATTAATAAATAATAAAGTAGGAATTTATTTTAATAATTTAGAAGATAAAATGATAATGAGCTATAAACAAAGAACATCTAATGAGTATATACAAAATTAATATAGACAATTAACATTATTTTATCTTTAACTCTTTTTTATAAGGGAATTTTATTAAATGTTTATTTTGAAAATATATATTTTTAAAATTAATTTTTTTATCAGAATTGCCAGTCTGGTTTTTAAGGTTTTGCACTTTTTTAGTTTTTCTTTTTCTTTTTTATAATTACATTTGTGTTCTTATAAAACAATTTTTCAGGAAGACTTTGGTTTCTTTATTCACAATTATTTAGTAGAGTTCTTAAATGATTAAAGCTGGAAGCTCTCTTTCTACACTGTAATATATAAAATAAAAATATTAAATTAAAGTTTTTTTTAATATAAATTTACTTTTCTCTTTTTGAAGGTCTTGTTTGGATTAGTTAAACAGTTTTATCTTTCAGTTATTTATTTAGATGTAAAATTAGAAGTTTAAGTTTTCGTTTTAGCTGTATTTTAAAACTAATACTAATTAGTTAATTCTAAAGTATTTTATAAATCTGATGGAGTTTTATCTTTATTACTCCTATAAGGTTCTGTGCAGCTTAATGCTGATAGATTTGATTAATATTCTGAATTATTATCATCTTAACTATTTTACTTGTGTCTTTTCAGATTAAAAGTATTAAAAGGTCTAGCATCTTCATGAGTGAAACCAAAATTAAATGGTCCTTCATTATTTTAAGGTAAACTAAGGGAATAATTTGGCTTCTTTGGACTTATGAATGGGATACAGTCTGTTACTTTAGTAGAGCTTCCACTCACATAAGAAATATTGTAGACCTGCTAAGCAAATCCTTGACCAGAAAAACGCTTTTCATAATCTTCATAGAAGTGAAATTATTTATTATTTCTGTTAGGACTACACTGAGCAGATTAATTCAAATTTTAATGATCAAACATTCTTTTTTTATCAGAATTCTTAACTGTAGCAAATGGAGCAATAAGTTTATGAGGTGACATCATAGAAAGCTCTGAAAGTTTTAAATAATCTTATTAATCACCATTAGATTTTTTTATTTTGCTTTTAATTTTTATTGATAATTTTTAAAATATTTTTTTAAATTCAAACACAAGTTACGGCATTTTGACAACTCTTGATCTTTCGAATTCAAAATTTTATTAGAAAGCTTTGTCTTAATTTGTAATAGGATTATTTGTTGAAGTATTCACTCCTTAAGAGCTCTGCTGCTTTTGCTTTCTTTTGAAAATTGTTTAATTGTCTCCTTAAACCTAATTAGATATAGAATATCTTTGTTTTTCATCACTTATAGGAATTAAGTAATATGATTTTTCTTCATGTGTTATCTTTTTCATTTCATAGCTAGGCTCCCTATTTCTCTTTATATGTAAATTAAGCATACATTTATAGTAATGAATAAACATACTTATGGAGTTATAAAAGCTCTTCTAATTTATTACTTTTTCTATTAATTTTTTGTTTAATGAGGCTATTAAGAAAGAGGTGTTTCTTCGTTAATCGAAGATGCTCTAGATCTCATTGGTGAATAGGCTCCAATAACACCTAAAGAACTTTTAAGTCTATTATGCTATGGAGATTTAGATGGTTCTCTAAGAGGACCAATTTATATACCATTAGGCGATTTTTATATTGGACTTGCATTATTACTTCTTTTTACAAATATATTACTGCCATTCTTTGCTGAAAGGATTTATGATTCTTACACGTTGTAGAAATTTTCAGGAGTAATATCAATTTTTTTTCTAGAAGATATATTCAAATTTCTTTTTTAACTAAGACTTCTAGAAAGCTCCTTCAACTGACTAATTTTATTTAGTATAAATAATTACAATATAAGATGCTAAATATTTACTCTTTTTGCCTAACCAAATCTTCAGGAATGGCCAACTAGTGAGAAGGTTCTTATTTGATATAAAAAAGTAAATAAGGAGGATCGTTTCTCATCTCATTTAACGATACTTATTTTACTGAAGAATCATTCATACAAAACCAATTTTCACTAGAGTCTTTTATGTAGCTATAATAATGTCCTCCCTTTTAATGAATAGATTAATTCATTTTGGCATAAATAATATTTTTAATTTTACCCATGCCACAGAACCTTAATGAGTTATCATAGCATATAAAATGTAGTTAGTGGCAGGAGAGTATTATTTAGATAAAGAGTACTCTTACAAGTTTAGTTCTGTCTTGAATTCAATATTTTTTTGAATTTTCATAATTTCATAAAACCTGTTTATCTTTATCACCATTACATTTGGAAAGTTATCTTTATTATTTGTATTATCAGAAATTTTCTTCAATTTGATAAAAGTTACATATATTTGCTGTTCTGATAGCCTTTTGATATTTGCATTATTTGCAAACTACTTCTTTCTCTGCAAATTTAGCACTTAAACAGTCATCTAATGAATCCATTCCTTTTATATCCTAAAAAATAATGTGAAAACAGTTAATAAAAGCGATTGAAAAGAATCAATAATGTTTTGATATTACTAAAACAATTGTATAGTAAATTTCATATTATATTTATTCAGTTTTACAAGAATAGCACGTTATGTTGTATTAAATAGCTCCCGTGAACATATTATTAAATAAGTCTGCATTTTTTTAATTTAGAGCATCAATATATTATTTTTCTTCTTCCTTTCTACTTTAACTTATATCAGAATCATCATCATTATCATCCTATTACTCATTTTATTTTTTTGTATCTAATTCAAAGATTTTTTCTGTTTATTTTTCTTTTTCATTATGTTGTATCCTTAAATCCTATTTATCTCCTTCTTCTCTTTCATTTTCATTTACTTGAAAAGGCTCTTTTTTTATTTAGCTTACTATTATTGTAAAAAATGTGAGAGGGTCTTCCTACTTTCCAATTTTAAAATCATTTATTAGCTTATGCATATTATTTACAATCACAACTGGGTGTATAATGTTAACTGTTGCTGTAAAGCATTTTCTCATATGATTTTCTAAAAAGCACATTAAACAAAAATTGTTTGAATTTATAAATGTGTTTCTTGGGGTATTTGAAAGTAATGAGCTATTGGCTAATTATTTCCTTTTTTAAGAATTAATTTAACACACAGCTGAGTGTTTCTTTTATGTAAAGTAATTGGCTAAAGGAGGAGTATACGTTACAACTTGCAGTACGCTATTTATAAAACATGTATTTCCAAAATTAGTTAAACCAGGTCCTACTCTATATAATTTTTCCCAAGAATTAAAAACTTTTAGCTTATGCAAAGGATGTTCATTTTTAATAGGCTTTCCATATTCATCCAGCTATATTGGCTACTTAAGAGAGGTTTTTGATTTTTTTAAAATACCCTTTTAAGCTTATTTGATCTTCTCTGACTATTCCTTTTAAATTCTTTCATTTTCTTCTAATTATTTTTACTCTTATGATTTTTTCAGCTGTTCTAATTCTTCTTACTCTTATTTTATTTACCTCTAACGTTCTTCCTCCTATTTTTCTAGGAGAATCCTTTTTCTTTAAATTTCTTCCTCTGTTTCATCTTCATCTAATGGTTTAATGCCATTTTCTTTTAAAAATGAATTTGGATAAAATGAATCACTATTCAACACATCCCCTAACTAAAATGTTACTCGTTTATAAATGAATTCCATTAATCACCTTATATATATATATTTATATTAGCTTTTATTCTAAACTTTTAACTTTCTTATTAAATAGAAATCTAAATGGATAATTGTTTAAATTTTGTTTGTTTAATATTTTTGATATTATTCTTTTTTTGGTTATGTGGATCTTGCTAATTTAATTTGTGTAAAAATAATTTAATGATAAACAATCAAATTTTAATAAATAAATAAATTATATACATCCAAATAAATGTAAAATACTAATCGATTTCAATAAATAATAATATAAAATATTTGTGGTTATGAATATAAGAAAATAAAAACTTTTCAATTATTTTCAACTTACATAAAATAAAAAAATTCAAGAAAAAACTATATCTTTAATTTAAGTAAATTAAACTTTTCAAACTTTTTAGTTTTTGCTTTCTTTGTATCAAAAAAATATTATTAAATGCGTCTTATTTAATTACCTTTCAAATAAAATTAATTAATTTATTGAAAAATTATTTTAAGTGTTATTTTTGATTTTTAAATTTATTTTTACAAAATAAATTTGTTAAAATTATTTTTTAAATATTACTATATTTAATAGTAATGTATATTTTTTAGTCATTTAATTTCAAACTAAAATTAAATGTCTAACTAAGTACTATAGAAACTCAATAATTTAAATCTTCCCTTAAGGCTGCTTTTTTGTAAGAAAAAATGTATCTTTATCTCCCGTGATATATTGATCAAAAATTAGTATAAACATAGTATTTTACTTCAAATTTAGTTTCAGAGTTTAAAGAAAATACACCAACATAATATTAAAGATATTTAAGCAATAATTTTTTTATTCAAAAATACTGGTTTATAAACTAGTATAAACTTATAATTTTCTTTTAAATATTGTTTTATTTTCTTAATAGCTATTAGTATCTATCTGATTTTATTATGATTGATTTTTCGATTAATACAAATAAAAAATTGATAATAATAAATTTTATTTTAAATATTTTCTAAAAATAATTATTTTTTAATAATTTTAATAAATTAAATTTAATATTTAAAATAATTTTATAATTTTAAAACTGAAAATAATTTTTTAAATTTATAAAGCAAATTTTTAATCAAAAATAAAAAAATAATTTGATTTTTATTAGAGAAATATTTTATGAAAATTTTAATATTTTTTTAAAGAATTATTTCAATCAAAGTTAAAAAACCAAATACAGACTATAAAATTAGAAATGTAAAAAAACAACAATTAAATTTAAAGCATATTAAAAAATAAAAAATTCACTGAATAACCACTTAATTTAAAGATACAATTTCATCTTTTTTATATGGAGATTGTTACTCTGTTTATTTTGGGTTTTATTATGTAAGTAGATCATTTTCTGTAATCATATAATTCTACTCAACTTTTATAGGTTATTTAGCAGGATATTTTGATCTGATATATGAAACAATACACACACTGGTTAATCCCACAAAGGCAAAACAGGATACAGCTATTCCAACAATTTAAGCTGCAGATAATCCATCATCATCATCTTCACTTTAATTACAGTGCTTTGCATCAACAATTTAACAATTTTCATCATAAAATAATGATGAACTAGAAGTAATCTAACATTATATTTAATTATTAATAATAGTGCCTGAGCTATTTGATACATTTCCTTATTCGTCAAAACTTTAGCAGACATATCTGTTTGGATCTAAGTTTTGATTTATGTCAAAATTAATATTAAAACTCTAAGTTTATTGAAGTACTCTTAATAGTGATTAATTAAGGTCTTGCAAATTCAGTAAATAAAGGGGTTGATTTGATTTACAATTGCCATTTTAGCAGTATATATTTGTGCTAACAAAGGCAACTTATAGTATTTATGATGAATCTGTATCAGTTGAATTTGGGTCTTCTTCTAACAAAGATTGAGAATTTCCACTTTAAATGTTTGATGAACTAAGTGTTTTACTAAACTTATAGCCTGGCTTACTAGCCTAACCTGAAACTTTTAATTACTATGAACCAGTTGAAATACTTTGTTCGTTTGGTAAATTTTTAACATTAGTAACTAACTACTTATGTATTGAGAATATTTCATTAATCGCTGTTTTAACTTAAGCCTTATCTTAACTAGAAATTTCTGATTTATTAGATATTTCTTTTATCACGCTATCTATAGTAGCTGAAACATAAGAACTTATTTGTTTTTTAGCTTACTAAAGACCTTGATCTGTATTAACACCATTACCAATTACTTCAACAATAGATTACTTGAAATTACTTAAATCTTCTGCTGAGGAGTTTTAAATAACTCTACATGTTAGTTATTTATTAACAATTATCAGTTATTCATTCTCTGAGCATTTTTTGCATTAGTTGTCATTATCTAAAACTTCAAATATTTCAGAACATGATTTTATACATAATTTTTAATCAGATGATACATATTGATTGCATTTTTACTGACAACTATTATCTTCAGCTTAATAAAATGTGCCTTGTTTGCAACTGAGAGTGCATTACTATGATTAGTTGTCAATGTCAGGATATTAGCATTTATCTGTGCATACATTATTATATTCTGAAGACTATTTTTTACTCTAACAAAAATTTTTGTCAACACATTATTTATAATCTTTTGATTGATCAGTAAATTTATATATCATTTGATTTTAACCACAATTATTTAAGCATTTAACCTAATTAGGTGTGCTGCTTTAATCTATTTCAAAATAATTTTTACATACTTTGCAAAAATTTTGATTATTTACTTATTCCTGTTACTCATATTTTTAGCAGGTTTCAACACATAATAATCCGTTACTTGATACGAAATTCGAGCAAGTATTTGTGCAACCAGATTCATCTTATGATAAATATTAGCCATTTGGACATTTACCTATGCATTTTTTAGTTTTTAAGCTAATTGTTTCGTTAGATTTACATTTTTTAACACAGCTTAAACCATCAGAGCTGACTAATTAATCGCATACATTGCATTAATTGGTTTTTTGATCTAAATATTAACTTACATCACATTTTTGAATGCATGACTTTCCATCTACACTAATGACTAAAGATTTTGAACAGCTAGTTACACACTATTAGCTTTATTAATCTATGAATTAGTCAGAAGGACATTATAATAAGCAAGCTTTACCATCTAAGCTCAAAATTTCTCCGTTATTGCATTATTTAACACATTTTTATCCATCAGAGCTTACTATTTAACTACAAATATTACAGATTTTATTTTATTATAAATAATAACCTGATTAACATTTTTTATAGCATATGGTACCTATTTATATTTCTTAAGAACTACATTATAACTTACAATCTAATAAATCTGAAGTTATTAAAAGCTTACAAATTGTGCATTTATTATTATCTTTAGAATTAAAATATTAGCCGTCATCACATTTTTTATAGCAATTTTTGTTTATTTATACTTCATCAGCTAAACAACTACTAGCACAGCCTTAAAAATCAGATTTTACTAAAGATTTATCAGCTGGACAAGTTTTACATTAGTTCTTATTTGTAGAATCAAAGTATGAGCCCAATTCACATTTTTTATAGCAATTTTTGTCTATTAGTACTTCATCTGCTAGACAACTACTTGCACAACCTGTGAAATCAGATTTTACTAATTATTTATCAGCTGGACAAGTTTTACACTAGTTTTTATTTGTAGAGTCGAAGTATTAGGCTAATTCACATTTTTTATAGCAATTTTTACCTATTTATACTTCATCGGCTAAACAACTACTTGCACAACCTGTAAAATCAGATTTTACTAATTATTTATCAGCTGGACAAGTTTTACATTAGTTTTTATTTGTAGAATCGAAGTATAAGCCCAATTCACATTTTTTATAGCAGTTTTTGTCTATTGGTACTTCATCGGCTAAACAACTACTTACACAACCTGTGAAATCAGATTTTACTAATTATTTATCAGCTGGACAAGTTGAACATTTGTTCTTATTTGTAGAATCAAAGTATGAGCCTATTTCACATTTTTTATAGCAATTTTTACCTATTTATACTTCATCGGTTAGACAACTACTTGCACAACCTGTGAAATCAGATGTTACTAATTATTTACCAGCTGGACAAGCTGTGCATAAGTTCTTATTTGTTGAATCGAAGTATGAACCCAATTCACATTTTTTATAGCAATTTTTGTCTATTAGTACTTCATCAGCTAGACAATTACTTACACAACCTGTGAAATCAGATTTAACTAATGATTTATCAGCTGGACAAGTTGAACATTTGTTCTTATTTGTAGAATCGAAGTATGAGCCCAATTCACATTTTTTATAGCAATTTTTGTCTATTAGTACTTCATCTGCTAGACAACTACTTGCACAACCTGTGAAATCAGATTTTACTAATTATTTATCAGCTGGACAAGTTGAACATTTGTTCTTATTTGTAGAATCGAAGTATGAGCCCAATTCACATTTTTTATAGCAATTTTTGTCTATTAGTACTTCATCTGCTAGACAACTACTTGCACAATCTGTTAAATCAGATTTTACTAATTATTTATCAGCTGGACAAGTTGTACATTTGTTCTTATTTGTAGAATCGAAGTATGAGCCCAATTCACATTTTTTATAGCAATTTTTGTCTATTAGTACTTCATCAGCTAGACAACTACTTGCACAATCTGTGAAATCAGATTTTACTAATTATTTATCAGCTGGACAAGTTGAACATTTGTTCTTATTAGTAGAATCAAAGTATGAGCCCAATTCACATTTTTTATAGCAATTTTTGTCTATTAGTACTTCATCAGCTAGACAACTACTTGCACAATCTGTGAAATCAGATTTTACTAATTATTTATCAGCTGGACAAGTTGAACATTTGTTCTTATTTGTAGAATCAAAGTATGAGCCCAATTCACATTTTTTATAGCAATTTTTGTCTATTAGTACTTCATCAGCTAGACAACTACTTGCACAATCTGTGAAATCAGATTTTACTAATTATTTATCAGCTGGACAAGCTGTGCATTTGTTCTTATTTGTAGAATCGAAGTATGAGCCCAATTCACATTTTTTATAGCAATTTTTGTCTATTAGTACTTCATCTGCTAGACAACTACTTGCACAATCTGTGAAATCAGATTTTACTAATTATTTATCAGCTGGACAAGTTGAACATTTGTTCTTATTTGTAGAATCAAAGTATGAGCCCAATTCACATTTTTTATAGCAATTTTTGTCTATTAGTACTTCATCTGCTAGACAACTACTTGCACAATCTGTGAAATCAGATTTTACTAATTATTTATCAGCTGGACAAGTTGAACATTTGTTCTTATTAGTAGAATCAAAGTATGAGCCCAATTCACATTTTTTATAGCAATTTTTGTCTATTAGTACTTCATCTGCTAGACAACTACTTGCACAACCTGTGAAATCAGAT